CTAAATTCCTTTCGCTTTCGATTTTTTTTAAACGCACGGGACACGTGCACCAAAGGACTTCAATGCCAAAACGTGGCGCTATAATTTACCCACAATCTTCCTGCTTTTATATTTTCAAAACGCATGGGGTAACCGAACATAATGCTGCAAACTGGCGCCATATTTAGTCTGGTACCCTGAAGCACGATTATATTGAAACACTGGTTTACAATCGTTGTTACCAGGCTAGAAATCGCCTGCTGGTCTATTTAAACCCAATGGGTTTGGGTCGAGGTGAGTGTACTAGCTGCGTGATAAGAGGATTATACGGGGAGGTCAACGATGTTCGTGCAGTGGAAGCAGATACTCGAATCGCTCGGGAGTGGAGTATTGGCAACATTGTTGGGACCTTCCTTCGAAGCACGTAAGCTCTGTTTCAAACAGCCAGTTCGGGCACGCGTTCAAATCCAGATTTGATGAATTTATTTTTAACATTCTAGGTTGAATAAGCTAAATTTCCAGGCGGGCCTGATCGTCGCACTGCCAAAAAAAAATACGGGGTTGAGCTGATGTCATGTGATATTCATATCGAGTCCCTATCGACTGATTTAGTGCAGTGTTCACTGTAAACCCTAAATGTCAAACTTGTGAACGCATAAACGCTTTTTTGCAACAGTTGAAAAACATTTCAATACGTTTAAAGGGAGATATATGCTATTTACTTCAGTAAAAGGCCTAGGTTAAATTTTGAGTCAGATATTAGGCATCCATTTCCAAAACAACGCCTCACACAGCCAGTTTAAGTTTTGCAGCTAGCTGCGTAACTGAAAAATGACTTTAAGGAAAACAAAAAACAATCCTTCCGTTTAACGCCTAATAACATTTAGGAACACTTAACACTTTGTTGAAACGCTTAATTCCTATAACTTCCTAAACAGCGCCGTTCACGAGACGTTTACCTTTACAATGTTTAAACGCACGAGTGACATTGACCAGGCAGACTAAGTGCATTTGCAGTTGTCGAAGCGAGAAAATGATCCACGCCACGTTGGCCGTTTAACACGGAGTGACAGCCCGAATTGATGGGAAAGGAAAACGAGGTCTTGAAATGCTTTCCGTGTAAATTACGTCGGTGTCAGTCTGTCCATGTGTTGACACGAGCTGTCGGTTGCAATTTATATCCAAATGCGGCATGTTGTTTGCGGTAGGCGGCAGCCATTTTCTGCGGTGCAACAAGGCTCGCGCGAGTCGCGCTCAGGTAATACGCACGCGCGCTCCTTCGACCAATAGGAATACCAAAATGCGCGTTCGCCTCGTCTTTAAGAACGCGTGCAGTATGCGCGTGAGCGTGACACTAGTGCAGTAAAAACTTCTAATTCTGGTCGCCGGATTAGTGACGGTTGGAATGAAATTCGGTTTATTTCAGTATGAAGCCAAATGTTCGTAACATTAACAGTCTGAGGCGCACTCGGGATGATCCTCATGTTTTTATTGAACAATTTATTCATGAATCGCGACAGAGGTGTAGTCACATCCATCACAAGTCAGTCAGAAATAACGGGGGGAAAGTGGACAAGGACAGAAATGCCCTCGCCACAATTAATTTGAATTGCCTGTCATTGTCTTATTGTGATGACTTGTGAGGAATTTGGCTACAAGTCTAGACAAACAGAATCAGAAATGCCCAAAGGAGGATCTCACAGTGATGCGTGAGATGGACGAAGACACAACTCGACCATCAGTAGGCCCATTTCTGAATCTTCCCAGTGCCCCAAAGCACCGTCAACACAATCCTAAAGCCTTATACGCGCCCGACTTGGACTTGGATGAGATAGAAAAGCCATCAAATTATTTTTTTCAAATCAAGAGAGAAGGGTGCCGATAGTCACGCGTCTCGCATAAAACATTGACAGGTTCCTTTCAGCGACCCGCGCAGCGAAAATTAAAAAACATGACATGAAACGGCATAATGACGTTACCCGTTGACTTCGTTATGGGTCACCCTTCTTTCTACTGTACAAAAATCAGATAAATGGTTCACTATATTATCAGGACTTAGGCACGAACGATGTCAGTATCTTCGAACCTATATCATTTTTTTTATTGTTCAGAAGCAGTGGCAAGCGCATCGTAGAACTGCGAAATCGGCACGGGCTAAACCGAGGACACACATAATTATGAAGCATCATCGAGTAATATTGAGGACAGGAGTCAAATCGAGGGCGACCTCGATTAGAAAACGCGTACAAAACCAATGGGAGCTGTTGCCAAAAAGTTGAGTATAAACAAAAGATCGATGATGAGGAACAATGGGAAATCCTCGATTTACACCATAAACAAACCTGCTCTCACTATGCATACTTTATGTGGACCTGTGAACAAAAGAGGTCTACAGTGTGCAGGAAGCGTGAACGATTTGTGGACTTGCACACGTCCGCACTAGGTTTCCCCTCTCTGGAAAACAGGTTCAGAGGCATATTTGTGTTAGGTTTATCGTCGCAAAATGAAGAGGAACACTCAAGAATATCATGATGAAAAAATTGGATTGAAAGAGTGTTCACAATGCAAGTAAAATGTTGTTTCCCCCGGTTTTTCTTAACCATGCGAACGAATTCAAAGGAATGTCCACAGTAGGTATGGAAGGTAATACTATGTATGTAAACACCGGCAATCGTGAACTGGGGACAAAGGGTTAGGGCACAAACAAAGGGTCCACGATTGACCGATAGTCCACGATTGAAATTCGTGTACAAAACCAATGAGAGCTGTTGCTAAAAAGTTAGAGTGCAAACAAAGGAATGACCATAAGGGACAATAGGGGGTCCACGATTGCCGGTGTTTACAAAGATGGGTGCTAGTGAGTATGCGCACACCGGGCAATCGTGGACCTAGGACAAAAGGGTTAGGGCACCGTGAAAAAATACGTCCACGATTGACTGAAATTCGTATACAAAAGCAACGAATGCTCTTGCTAAAAAGTAAGTGTTCAAATAAAGGAATGAGAATTAGGTACAATAGGGGGTCCACGATTGCCGTTGTTTACAAAGATGGGTGTGTACAAGATGGGTGATCTGGTACACGGTACCCTGTGGAGACATGGGTATAATAGGGAACAAAAGATTGTAGGCTATACGTCTCCACAAGGCAATTTATATAGGTGAATACGTCTCCACAAGGTTATCACGAAATAGAATATGGATTTTACTCAAAAACTAGGAATTTCCAAGGTGTGTTGATCCGTTGCAAATTGAAGTATTTTATGTAAGGGATATTAAGTCCGAATTTCAGCCCAGGAAATTAATTGCGGTTAAAATAGGAGCATTTTGAAACTAGATTTTCAAACTCAATTTTTTTAGTCCAGGAGACAAAAACAATGACTCCACAAGGATACAAATTCCAGTATGCGCATGTGTGTTTGTGTGTCTATCTCAAGAGTAATATACTGTATATTGACGCACGAGTCCACTTCGTTCAAACGCCGTGAGGCGATGGGACTTATATGAAAGATGCTGGGGTCAGAACGGCTCAAAATCGATGTCCAGGCCGATCGTACCAGTTGTTCTGATTTGCTGTGTGTGGTCGGCTGTTCGATATCGCGAATAAGGTCAGTGTATCGTACGGATGATGGCCGTGTCGTGTGTAAGTCTACCTGATTTGGGTTCATCCGTGGTACGGCATGGTTCGCACGAAGTCAGTTCTGCAAACTGGTGCCGGCGGCTTCAAGTCACGAACGACCCCCCCCCCCTCCCCATTTACTAATCCTATAAGACATGATTTCGTGTCATATTCGTGACATTCGCGCGGCTGATAGCTGGTAACATATCTGCTGAATACTTAGTAGAACAGAACCCTTAAACACCATGTCAAATCCATTTTGTTTCGGCATGTTCTTCTTTAGGCTACGAGGAAATTATGTCAGGTGCTTTTAAATGTATCGAAGCTGGCACGAATTCAGCGCCAAATTGTCCGCTTTGAAAATCTATCACATGGTGAACAATATGTGTTTTGCTTTTTTTTTTTTTTTTTAACTGCATGGTTACTATATCCTAAACTCTATTGCTTGACCTAGTTTTGACATTATTATGTGCCGAGTACAGATGTTTCTGGAACCGTAAACAAAAACGATCATCAACATTGTTGGGGGCATTTTTCAATCAAAATATACGGGTATGCTGGAGTCGCAAAATGAATTGGCGACATTTGGTTGGAAATAGTTGCTGCAAAAAGTGGACAATTAAAGGGTGTTTGAAGCAATCGGTTAAAGCAGAATTCTATCTTGAAAACGATCGACAAACGCATTCTATTCCAGGAACGTGCAGCATACAATCCCATGAATTTGACAAGTTTCAATTCTGTGTTAGAAACCCCCTTTAAGCATTCCATTCCGTCCAAATATCACATCTGTTGCTTGAATAGTTTTCACAGGTCAAAACAGCAGCAGCAACAACAGCGACAACAACAACAACAACAACAAAAACAACAACAACAACAACAACAACAACAACAACAACCAACCAACCAACCAACCAACCAACCAACCTTTAAGTTGGGAATTGCTAGAGTAGGAATCGGATTATGTGATGCATGTTGGACGCCCGTTCAATCATACCTCCTTTTTTTCTCGATGTTCCATTTGTGTGAGGAAAATTTATCACATGTAATAGTTTCGAAGTACATTAAACCGGGTGTAACGAAAGCAACGTTATGAAAAATCGTCGCAGATGAAGGGAAGATATCTCAGACTATCGGATAAATAACTACTCACTGCATGCAGTCAATTAATTATCACCGGATATAACAGAATGAATTACGGAACATCTATAAGTTAGCAGTACCACATTTTTTGGTGATGCACTAGACATGAGAACTTTCGGAAAATGACACCTCCCTTGACAACCATTGTTTTATTCTCCATAGTGTGCAACACTGCCCATAATATCAAAGGGAAATGCTGGATTCGAACCAATAGCATAATATTTACAGCTGTGTCGTGAAAACTATTTAATATGACTTTGACTTACCAAAGTTGAGGACAATCGCGAAAACAACTTGCAGCTCCCACATGATGAATAAATAAATATTCCGTTTTCCGCGAACCAACTGACTAATGGCGTCTCCCGAGAACACTTCTCGACCGGCTTAGCAGCTCGTTTCCCCCCGTAACGCCAGGGCTGGTAAGGTCGCTCGCTCGCTCCTTGGCCCGTGGTGTGTTTTTATACAGGGGAGCTTTTGTAAGCCAACACGCGTGTCACAGAACGGAGGTTTGGCCTCGATAAACACACGCACGCGTGGCGGCTCGGGCTAGAATGTGTGGGACCGGCCGGCCTGCCGTATACCTCTGCTTCATCGCTCGCGCTGCCGCGCTCGGAAAATCAATCGGGCTGTTCGCCCTCTAGGCTAGCCTGGTCTTATCTCCTGCAATATGCAACAACGACATGGCTTCAGTTCATTCTCCAGGCCTGGCCTAGGGGTTTCTGATGTTGCATAGCCTGGTTCTTCTCATCTTTCCGATCTTTTCTCCAATCAAGGATGCAGATGATTTCTTGACCTGCACTCTATTGACGTTTCCTGTCAATAAAATAATTACATCACCTTTTTAAGATTCCGTCTTTCGATTATTTCCCACGACTTATTTTTGATGGATCGTGTTTGACCAGGATACATTGTGCGAACGCATTGATGACTTCCAATATATTTGAGTTCTCATTATTTAGTATTTTATTACCAGTGACCCCGGTTATAAAGAACTTCCGCTACAGAGTTAATTTCCATGCATGTGTCATGGCTTTTACCAACCTCGTTCCTATGGGTACAATCTTGCTGCGCCATGTTGGTTCCCACCATGCCTTGCGCAATAACGCGCACGCGGCCCATAGAGTCGAGGTTGGACTTTCATTCGATACTTTTCTAATTCAAAGTGGTGGAAATTCAGGCTCCATTGACGAGAACGCGAGATTTATTTCAGCTGATCACTAGCTGAACAACATGTAGACATGACCAATTAGGAGATGCCAAGGAAATGGAGAAAACCCATGGGGTGGCGGAAAACGGAGTGTAGACAGCGCCATCTGTTGATCATTGTGAGAAAAAAATAGGCCATTTTGAGCAAGTGAGGGCGCTGCACTGACGCAATTCAAGTTGGAATAAGTGCGTAATATTGAAGCAGTTCAGTAAGTTTACCTCAACGTACACATTAAAGAATGTATGCAACAGAATCAGCATGTAAACTTCAGTTACCGCGTATTCAGACTTGTTAATATTATACCCCAATATGTTGCCGTTAAAGTGCGCCCTCTTTCGCTCAAAAATGTGGTATGTTTCTGTACTCCATTTCCACTGGAATCGCACAATGGACCGATCCAAGCCCCGCCCACGGCGCACTGGGCAAATTAACACGTGCTCCTCTCCAATGCCACACTGCATTCTCCTGCCACGCGCATCATACGCGCGTGCACGCATGTCGGACTTTAGTGCGCGCACGTCGGACATAAATCACGGCTGTGATTGGTCAGAGCACCATGGGGCGGTGCTTAACTGGATCGGTCCATTGTGTGGCATTATCCCCACCGTTTATTACGGTAATCTCCCCTTTCCCACAACCCGCCCATTTCCACACCCACTCTCTCAACAATCCCCGCGTTTTGGCAGCATTAAGCAGTAGAATCCCGCGGTGATGTGTTAAACATCCCTCCGGGGCCCGCAGTCCAGTTTCCCGTGAAATGTACTCTCAGCTTCCCCGTGCGGGTGTGCCGTACTTCTGGGCTCATTAGACCGTAATCACGCGACTCATCCCGGCCAACCCTTGCCTCGAGGGAGAGTGGGTAAAAACAGACAGCGGCTTGATAATTCATCAAGCAGAATCACTACCAGCCGCTAATCAAACACGACGCGTGTGTTTGTCTTCCATAATTAGATCAATACCCAGTAGATTATCCCGGCAAACATTAATAAGCCCAGCTTCCTCTGCGCTGAAAAAGCTTTCAGACTAAAAGGGGCTGTACAGCACCATGGAGGTAGGCAGAACATAGTGATTGGTATGCATGGTGTTAGCATGACCTCCATGGCATGACCATGGGAAACCGTTCTCACCACGGCAACTTCACCACCATGAACTCTCATCAGATCACCGTCATCACCATGCATCGGTTACACCATTACTCAAAAAGCCAAATCACCAGCAGCCCATTTTGGGGTGCATTTGATGGACACAATAGTGGCGTGGTTTGTTTTGGGTGTGGTTGGTTCAGGTGTTTACAAAGGAGTTTCCCATTTCCAGAGAGTATAGCGCCCTCCATTGTATCCACCATAACTATCTCAAAATAGACCGAGAATATCTCTTATCACATGCCAATATCACCACTTTAAGTCAGCTTCACCACTTTCACCATATTCGGTCATCCCAACCATGCCACCATCACGTGACATTATCAATAACATCTCATCCAATCCCCTCTTCCCAGATCATTAACATGCAATTTTTTTTAGACAAAAATAAATCATTTAAAATTGGGATGAAAACCTTTCATGTATCATGAAATAAAAAAAAGCAAAACTCATAAATGACCGAATCTTTTCAATTAAAATGAAACCCACAAAAAAGTCATCGCCAGAGTTTAACGTATTGTCTTTGAATTGAAAAGATCGTGGGTTCGAACCCCACAGGGGGCAGTTTCGTTCTGTTAACGAAAATTTAGTTTTCATTTTAATCTAATGAGTCAGTGTTAGTTTTAATCTAATGAGTCAGTGTTAGTTTTAATCTAATGAGTCAGTGTTAGTAAGGCCCACTTCCTGCAGAAAATACGAAACAACAATGACACAAAGAAACGTTTCACACATCAAAATTTAGGCCAAACAAAATATCCATTAGATTTTGATACAAGCAAACAATGCAAACGAAACCATTATACGGGCCAACTGCATTTATTAAACAGAGAGGGAAAAAGTTTCTAAATCTCTTGTGTTTTCCCTACTTTTATGCCATTCCTCCCTTTCAATGTAGACATTGACAACCCTCACTTTTTATTCAATAAAATCTGTGGTGTAATATCCCCCACCCCATTTTACCGCAACGGTTTCACAATTTGTATAAGACATTATGTGCTCCAGCAACTGCATGTCTCCTGATGTGAAAGGTGTACATGTACAGTTGTATTATGTGCGCTGCATGAACACTAAATCCAACGTGTTATTCCCCCCCCCCCAAAAAAAAAACCCACCCGAAACATAATATGTTGGCAGAGACGCCAATGGCGGATCGGGGGGGGGGGTGCGCCCCTCCCCACGTTCAGCCGCTGATTAAAGGGAAAATACAACATTTGCAAACATCAAAATATAAAACTACCAAATCGTTTTGAAATATCTTGCTGGACTGTTAGTGAATGACAGTGTAAAGCATCCTGTAAAATCATGGCACCTGGTATACTGTCATTTTCAAGAAAAGTGGTATTTTTGTATCAATTTCCAACGCTGATCGGCCGATCAGCGTTGGAAAAAACTGGTTTTTTTTCAAATACTGGCCCCAATTGACCATCGCACTTGTTTGCAATCGATTACAAACCTATGAACGGGTACGAGCCAGCTAGTCTGGTTCCCTGACCTTACAATTCCCCAATGTATGTAAACTGCTCTGTTTCTTCTTATATGGAGTCAGGGAACCAGACTACAGGAAAATGATTGTTTTCTTGGTTTTTATAGCATTTTCGAACCCAAAACCTCAAAAAAGTCAGTGTAACTATATTTGCTATACATTTCCAACCCCCCAATTCCATCCATTTCTGAAAATTACAGCAAAAGCAAATGATGTATATTCCCTTTAATGTTATGATACTAGTAAAACTGGGCCAAAAATAATTAAATTTGGATTGTTAAATTTCCTAATTTTATCTCAAATTACCTAAGAATGCAGGAGAAAGCACCGTAGATTTTGACAATTTATGAGGGGGGGGGGGCATGTCCCCGTACCCCACTAGCAAGGCGTGCCTTTCGCACACCTTCGAATCCCCCCCCCCCTTTCCAGAGAGCTAGACCCGCCCCTGGAAGCACTCGGTGTGAGGAGCCATCTGCACCTGAATTAAGGCAATTTTGCCGAGTGATTTTCTTTGACAGGTTGCAGAGTGCCGACCGACGATAACAACCCTTGTGGAATTGCACTCAAAGACTGATTAGCAAGTTCGAGAGGCATGGATCATCATTAGCAGTTCGACAAAAATCTACGTTGGGCTTCTTTTTACCGTACTAATGTTCAAGGGAAGCCGGTCTGGGCACCTGTCGGAGTGCGGGCATAATCGAGTGCGTCCCTGTATTATTTATGCGATTTCTGTGCTCCTTCGATCAGGTCTAATCAATTATTGAAATTCCAATGAATGCATGTTTATTTGGTTGATTTTTTTGGTGCTTTATCTGTACGGGTTTCAGCAAAGTAGAATGGCATTGGTGATTTGATGATACAAGCATGGCATTTGGCTCACAGTCAGAGTGTGTCATGAGAAAGATATTTGGCTACAGGGCCATCGCAGATTTGTCATTTGACAAAAAAATATAGGTAGAATAACAAGCAATGACAGCCATTTTCAATTTTGTTGATAATTGCTTGTTATTCTACCTATATATTTTTTTTTCATCAAAGGCACATTTCCCTCAAATGTTTCCCCTTTCTGCCCCACTAAAACAAACACAAAAACATATTTGTTATAGAAACTGGGCGGGAGTTGAATTACTTTCAAGACTGTCACCACCACAACGTTCCTTTTTGATCAATTTTGTTTCATGAAGTAAATAAAGCGGACCTTTCATAAAGCCACATGATTACACACAATGGTCAATAGAGGGCGTCGATTTCATCGCCCCCTCTCAGCATGATTTTGCAAGCAACATGCCTCGTACGTTTTTTGGCAGATGTTGTTTTTGAAAACAACATCATCTGGTATTTTAAACAAAAAAAAATGGGAACAGCAATTTTTCTTGGCAGATTTTGTTTTTGAAAACAACATCTGGTATTTTAAACCAAAAAAATGGGAACAGTAATTTTTTTTTTTTTTTTTTTTCAGACCGAGTCACAATAAAATTTACCGTAATAAAAACAAAGCACATTTTGGGCTGTTGCTTAAATGGTAGCGAAATTGAGCTCTAAACTCAGGTCGGACATTAGGTGCATGAACACGTGTTGTGTCTTGTTTACACCAGGGAAGTTGTTAATTAATAATCCTTTCTGGTAATGAAACCAATAATTCCTCAAAAGCGCCTTAGGCACTGTAGCTCGCAAGCATGAAGAAACCTGTGAAGAGAAGACAATGAGAAGAAGTTACAGTTTTATAGGTGGGAGGAAAACCCTAGAAGAATATTCTGGGGAAAACCCACGGAATCAGGTAGGGACTGAAAACCCAATCCACATATTGGCCCAGGTAGGATTCGAACCCGGGTCACAGCGGTGGACTCCCCGAGTTAAAGTTGTGATAAAAACTAAAAATGCATTCATGCACGAAGCAGAGTAGTGAAATACAGCACTTTAGCTTGTCTCGCCCACAAAGGGCATGTTTGCTCAAAGGGCAATTATAGGTGACAGAGAGGATGTTCATGCGCACCCGCACCTGCTGAATTCACGCACAGGTTGTTATCGAGAAAATGAATTAAGCATTTCATGACATGATAATGTGCGGTACGGAAGCGTGTGCATTAATGCACACCTGTGTAAACAATGTATGAGGGGAAAACCAATGAATATCACATTACATCTCAGTAATGTAGCAAGCAATTGAATTTGAAAAAAAGCGGAGGCGGGGAGGAAGGGGCGGGGCTGACCGGACGGGAGTGGGAACTTATAGAGACATTATTTGACGCATGGGGGCGCCGTTTACTAAACACTGTGAGCCATAATTTTGACAAAAGAGGGCGCCGTATCGACCCTGATGGAAGAGTAAAAATCAGGCTTGAGGCCTATGTTATCGAGTCCGTTATTTTTACGATGCTACGAATCAAAACGAGCGAAGAATCCACAATGGTATCTTCACTCTCTACGTGGTATAGTTATACTCATGACATGCCTTTTTTAAAACAAATATTCGGTATTTTTAAATGATGTTTTGACCAAGATGGCCGCCAAAAATTTGTCAGCAAGCAGCTGGTAAAACCCCTTTGATTCAGCAAAATAAAAAAGACTTATATAGTCCTTGCTAACGAACCAACAAAAACAAAAATCTGCTATCGTATTTATCCGCAGTTTTCCAAATTACAATTCATTTCAGTGCATCTAGGTTGCTGTCATAAATGCAATATCTGTCCCAACACGTTGTAGAAAAATGGATGGGCATTTGAACACTCAGTTGGGCAAAACGCACCACTTGTTGCTTTAAAGAATCTTTTGATGAATTAGTGGAGTGGTAGGGGATTGTATCACGCCCCCAAGCTCGCCGGAGTCAGGTTACGCCCGCTTCTCATATTTTTTTTATAAAGTAATCCACTCGGCTACAATTCCCACTTCTTATTAAAGTAAAGAGCGGTTGGGCGGTCCGTTTTCTGTCGCCGGCTCACTCAGAAACCCACAGGGAGGAATATAATGATGGAATATTGATGGGGCTCCTCAGTCGAGATGGGAAATTCATCATCTTTGATTACATTGCTCCCCCCCCCCCCCCGCCTCCAGTCGCGCCGCCGAGTTGTGGCGCTTTAATATCCATCGCTGTACGTTGGCTCTGTGTCCTGCGCGCGTTGATGTTGTTAGATTTTATAAACAAGATCTTTTCTCTCCTTTATGTGGCATAGTTTTCTGAGCGATCTCTCTGTTGGCAAACTTACCTATTGTTCTTTGCCAATGTAGTTGGAACCTACGATTCGTTCTTAATGTAACTCGTTAACACATTCATTGGAGCATGAGTTCAGGTTGTTCCAACTCAATATTTAGTTGAAACCTATGATTCATTGATTATGTAACTCGTTTACATAATCATTGGAGCATAAGTTTAGGTTGTTCCAACTCAATATTTAGTCGAAACCTATGATTCATTGATTATGTAACTCGTTTACATAATCATTGGAGCATAAGTTTAGGTTGTTCCAACTCAATATTGAGTTGGAACCTATGATTCATTGATTATGTAACTCGGTTACATAATCATTGGAGCATAAGTTTAGGTTGTTCCAACTCAATATTTAGTTGGAACCTTTGGTTAATTGATTATGTAAACTCGTTGGAGCATAAGTTCATAGGTTGTTCCAACTCAATATTTGCTTGGAACCTATGATTCATTGATTATGTAACTCGTTTACATAATTATTGGAGCATAAGTTTAGGTTGTTCCAACTCAATATTTGCTTGGAACCTATGATTCATTGATTATGTAACTCGTTTACATAATCATTGGAGCATAAGTTTAGGTTGTTCCAACTCAATATTGAGTTGGAACCTTTGGTTAATTGATTATGTAAACTCGTTGGAGCATAAGTTTAGGTTGTTCTAACTCAATATTTTGTTGGAACCCATGAGCACTTGATTATGTAAACTCGTTTACATAATCATTGGAGCACAAGGTTAGGTTGTTCCAACTCAATATTTAGTTGAAACCTATGATTCATTATTTAACTCGTTTACATAATCTTGGTTCTTGGTTCTTGGTTGGTTCTTCTCCTAAATACTCCACGTGGGAGTTTATACAGGAGGCCAGAAACACCGGGGCAAACCCATTCTCTTAGCGATAAGTGTTTACTGGGTTCTTTTACGTGCATTTATACAACACACGGGACCTACGGCTTAACGTCCCATCCGAAGGACAAAGCAATAATGGTTAAGTGCCTTGCTTAAGAGCACAAGTGTCCGCCGGCGGGCTCGAACCCACGTCACTGTTGCCTCTGAAACACCAGAACGTGAGTCCGGTGTTCTTAACCGCTAGGCCATCACACTCCACTAATCATTGGAGTACGGAAGACAGATAGTGCCACTCAATAAGTCTGAATATATTTTTTTGTACGTGTGAAAATATTTCGTTGTACAGTGGCCGCCACTTATTATGTGGCGGCCGCGGTACAAAAAAAATATTTTCACACGTACACAAAAGTATATTCAGACTTATTGAGTGGCACTATCCGTCTTCCGTATTGGAGCATAAGTTTAGGTTGTTCCAGCTTAATATTTACAATAGGTATGCAAATTTGGTCGACACAGAGAGCTTGCTGGCATGTTAATCTCCTGTCATCCACTTTGCTTCTAATTGGACCACAATGACACTATCATCCCTATCTCTGGATGTAGGTGTCCAAATGGCATAGGGAAAACAGCATTTGCTGAGAAATAATCATTCGTTAAGCATTTCTAAGTTATTATTAAACAACAGATGAGCTAGTATTTTAATATTATTTTCTCTAAAATCCTTTTTTTATACACACTGTACTTTCAAATTTACAAATATCTCATTTTCTAGCATAGAAGGCAGGTACAGCGCCTCCATGCCTTCATCTGGTACATGTCATGCATTTTATTTACCTTTTCTTTTTCTTCTTCACTGAGCACGATGGTACCTAAGTGTTTTCATAATTGTATATATCATCCTCGTATCGCTTTTACTGTTAAAATGTATGGCAATAAATGTTCTGTTTAATGAAATTGAACAAGACTTGTGTCTGTACACAGTTGACTCTCGTTAATACGAGGTTCTTCAGACTATAGTTACATGGTACATAAACAAAATTCTTTGTTTTCATTGGGTAAATCTAATCTCCATCATTATCACGCCTCACCAAATCAAAACAGCGAATGGGTAAGATGAACTCACTCAACTAGCCAGATGCCGCGCTTTGCGCGGCACCCTCTAGCTGGTCAGTGCGCCCTCAATTGACGTAGTTATGAGGTGTTCATTATACAGTACGGTTTCGAAATGCATACGTTTTGGAGTTTTTTTCATAGAGAAATTAGTGAACTCTTCAAAGTAAAAAAACCACATTTGCCAAACAAGTATGAAGCAAAACAAACAAATATTTTTTTCCTGTGCAAACTGTGACTTCAGTGGACAGTGAAATCGGTGCATATATTATATACACCGGTTAAGTACATGTACCCTAAACGAAGTTTTTAGGCCTTTGAAAACAGTGACACAGACATTAGACAGACAGACAGACAGACATTCGACAGCGTAGGATAGTATAACACAACGATTATATACATATAAAATGTGCAAGTGAATGTGAATCACAACCAAGAAGTTTTCGTGTAGTGATCAATTAACTGGACAATCAGAACATTTTGGAACATTAATAAGACTCGATGAAATAAAAAAATCTTTAATGAAATTCAAACGGGGCATTTCTTAATTTGTTTTCATGCAGCTTATACGCCATGCATGGTAAACTGATAACCAATCACGATCGACGTATTAGTTAACTTTTGCCTGGAGGAAGTTTCTCTTGTCCAACCAGAGGCGCCGTTAAAATCAGTCCGTACCAACGCGCAAGTTAGGTTAATGCGCGTGCTACAAAGTACAATAACCTTGTAAATACACCAATCAGGGCGCGAGATGTCAGTCACGCGTTGACTCAGGGGACATGTTCAGCTGTTGTGACAAGTTCAGCTCGCACATCGCAACAATGATGGTGTATCATCGGCATGATTTTCGAACTCGGCCATGTTCGCCAAGTAGCCGAAAAAGAATATGCCACACGTCCCAAGTACACGGTTTCTCACTTCTCATTCGTGTGTTTTCCCCGATGTGCTTTGCAGTTATACTTGTATTTGAAAGATTTCCCGCAGAAGTCGCACGCGAACGGCCTGTCGTCACTATGGTGGGTGATCCTGTGCCGCTTCAAGTTCCATTTCAGTGTGAAAGATCCATCGCAGATGTCGCACGTGTACAGCTCCCTCTTGGTGTGGACTAGCCGATGCACTTTGAGGTATTTAGGAAATTGGAAGGATTTATCGCAGCAATCGCACTTAAACGGCAGCTCAGACTTGAGCCTGTTGACGTGCCTTTGCTGGTGCTTCTTGAGGCCGAATAACCGAGTGAAGCGTTGGCCGCAACGGTCGCAAGGGAACGGCTTTTCCTTGGTGTGAACTTGTACGTGTCTGATAAGGGTGCTGATACTCGCGACTGATTTGCCGCACACGTCACAGGTGTACGGCTTCTCATTGGTGTGGATCCTAACGTGGACCCTGAGGCTGCCTTTCAATCTGAAAGATTGCTCACAGAAGTCGCACTTGTGCGGTTTGTCGCCAGCGTGAGTCTTCCTGTGCTGCTTCAGATTGGCGCTCAGGCGGAAACGTTCGCCACAACGGCCGCAGGAATACGGTTTTGCGTCGGCATGGCGTGGTAGGTGTCGCGTGAGGCCTGGTTTACTGGACAGGATCTTGCCACAAATTTCACAAGGTGATGGTATCTTAGGGGCTGCTTTGCGGATGCGTTTCTTCACTACAGTGTTGCTTTGGACTGAGTCCGCCATATTGTCTGTTACTGATTTGTCGGGGTCTGTAGGGAGCAAACGGAGGAATTTCAGGCCTCAATTTGTAAAAATAAATAAAAATTGTGCATGCAGCGACTCAGCCGGGCCAAACCAGAGTGTTACAGTCGACTTTCGTTAGTACAAACACTGTTAATACACATTCTGGCTAAAGCAAACACAAAGCCTTGGTCCCATCTGTGCATTTATGTACACAATGAATGGGACTGATGTTCCTCTTAACACAAAATTCTGATATAACAAACACCTTTTTGGGCTAGGCTTGGCCGAGTTTGTACTAACGAGAGTCGACTGTACTTATCTCGACTGTACTTATATACCAGTTAAAAAGAGCACTACCTGACCTAAGATTCATGAGGAATAGCCAGAATCTTTTGGTCTGGGAACCAGACTAGTATGAGAGATGCATACTCCCCACTCCCCATACTATCAAATGGTCCAGTCCTTTGACCTGTCGGTTTCAATGATGCGTGCGCTATGCGCTCATAGACTGCACGCTGCGTTAATATCCACACACGTACACAGTGGCAATCTTTTCTGCTCGAAATGTGGTGAAGAATTCTTTAAAAAAAAATCCTGGATGCACAACCAGACCCTGATCATTTCCAAAATCGATTCGATTAGTACTTGTACCAAGGACCACCCCTAAAAAATCATGAAAATCCGTCCATAACTTGTTGAGCATTATCTTGTTCACAGACAGACTAACTAACAAACCAACCAACACACAAACAAACGGCAGTTTAAAAAAAAATAACCTCCTTGGGCGGAGTTACTTATAACTATTTTTTAGCCCCCCCCCCGAAAAAAAAACTCGGTCTCTGGTCAGCGCGCGTGTCGATTTTAATCATGCGCGTCAACCTTTTTTTACCTTCAAATTAACACGGAAGCTACAACAGCGCCCTCTATTGCCGCACCTCCTCCAATTTTTGTAACAAGGAGCACCAAGGAATGGGGAAATTGCACCAAAGCAAATGGTAAAGAGCACCAAGGCAAATTATGGAGGACACCATGCAATGTATAATGAGGACACAACAAGGCAAAATAGTACCCACCTTGTCTGTACAATTCAAGTTTGAAAAAAAAAATCCAACCAAAAAAAAAAATTCAATTCCGGAACTTCGGTTTGACCAGAGACCGACCATTTTTTGGGAGGCCTTACCAACACCAATAAGAAGTCCGTAGTGAATGACATTCCCCGAAGGTAGTTTGTGGTTGAACGACAGCACTGGTCATGCAGGTGTGATGAGAAACCGTACGCAGTCCGAACCGACACTACATGCATACAAATTGTGTCGTGGGAGCACACATCCGAAAATACTGGGTTCATGTACATGTACATGTATAGTACGGTGTACATGTAGTAGGGTTTGGGCCACTGTATAAACTTTCCTTTCCTATTATTGTTGTCCTTTGCTTCCAAACTGTATGGCTTTTCTGAGGCAACTTTCCAGGTCAATGTGCCCATTGTTGCTGGTACACGGAGTTCCATGTTCCGCGTTCCATTCAGTGCATTATTTTCGTCGCGTACCAGAGGGTGCGGGTATATTGTGTTCGGAGGTATTATAACACTCTGTTTAAAGGGGCACAAGGTCCTGAGATCCTCGAAAATTTCATGTTTTGGATTGGTTACCTAGCCTATTTCAAACATCTAGTTGAAAGGAAACCAATTTAATGTCTAAACGTTCCCGAGAAAAGACGGAAAAAAAACCCGTTTGTTTTCGACACGACGGAGCACGAATACGTTTTTCGTGTCGTTCTCATTGTACGATATACACGTTGTGTATCTCAGGAACAGCGGTGACCAATCGCAAGTGGTTTCTTCAACGTCCGCAAAGGACGCACACTTCACGAATGAAATCACAATTTACATCCAAACATCTCGACTTCATGGGGTCACAAAAGTTTGTTTTTAGATGTTTTTAGATGATCGAGAATATCTTTGTGTGGCGTTTCTGGACTCCCATATATTTGCACTAAGTTGAGTCGGGCACCATTTGCAGTCATCAGCCTACATTTGAAGCAACAAAAACAGGTAAAAAAAAAAAGCCGCGTCGCCGCTCCACTTTTTGGGCAAGCTCCATACCAGAAACCGGAGACTTTTTTTGGGGCTTATTGTTCACTGCTGATTGTTCATATGACTCAACGCCTGTGCGTTGAGAACATAATGGAGCTATATACGGCGGCTTATTTTTTTGGCAGCATACATCGAAAGCAATCACATCACGCGCGCACCCAACACGAATATTTATTACGCTGTGAATGGAAGACAGTGTTTCCCTTCAATTAAACTTAACACAACTAACAATGGACATGGGTTCAAACCACTCTATTGCCGCCACCTCCTCCAATTTTTGTACCAAGGAGCAAAATTTATAAAAAAAATTATAAAAATAAAAGAATTATTGGACATGGGTTCAAACCACAGATCTTGCGATCCGTAGTTCATTGCACTATCCACTGGAGCAATGGCGGACTCATGGAGGCCGCCATCTTTTACTCGGGTTAAAGGTCACGTTTGCCGAAATCCGATATCACTTTCCTAACGCCCACTTGTAATTCCTAACCAATTCCTAACCAATTCCTAACCAATTCCTAACCAATTCCTAACGCACCGTTAGGAAAGCGTTAGGAATTGGTTAGGAATCGGTTAGGAATGATGTTCGGAATGTTCGGAATCGGTATCGAGCGTTAGGAAAGCTGGGTAGTCCGTCCTGCCGCGGGTGGGCCACAAAAGGGCCAGAAAGAAAGGGCCACTGTGGCAGCTCGACAAAAGCCAAGGCCGTTCTTTGAAATGCTTTTATGTACGTGCATGACTGAGTGATAGCAATGGTGAGACGGTGTGACAGCACATCGAACTAGCTGAATAATCATGATCCATTGACGATATGCCCTGCAGATAAAAACACCGCATGCTTCAGGGAAGGTTGGAAGGTTGGATATATTTTTGCAAAGTGACCTATGTATAAAAAAATGATGGCGTCATTTGCTCAGGCGACGGGAAGGGCGCCCCTAGCGGTAGGTAGGTAAACGCGTGTGAGCTACTGACAATGTTATTGTGTAAAATGCGAACGGGATATTCAAAGATGAAGGAGCAGATGACCAACTAAAGAAACAAAGAGATGAATAAAGGCATAGATAAAGGAATAAATAAATTAAAGACATAGTCCATCATTGTAATTTGTGCATTTTGTTCGTTTGAAGCAACAAAAGTGTTCAAAATCTGATGAAGGATACTGAACAACTAACCTGATGAAGTTTCAGCTCAGCTTCAGCTGTATATTCCGAGACAAACAGCATTCTAGGATCTTAATTTCAAATCAAAAGTTGCTAAATCATGTTTTGAACTGTTTTGAATTGCAGCTTTACGCGATGTCGCGCACTGATCCGACGAATTATAGCAACCGCGCGCCTGTGCGTCATGCCAATGAAATCGTTTTCAAAGCAGAACCTATTGCTCATAACATGAATAGAATGCCTGTATCATCCCCTTCAATTTTAGGATGGCATTTAAAAAAAAAAACGCTTTACATGGCACCCGGCCATGATTAAAAGCGTTCGACATTACGGAGGACTGGACACCATCTTCCCATGGAGGCGCTGTTCAAATTGGAAATCATGGTCATTATCAGAAGCTAGCTGGTGCTATTCGATTTCCATTGTGCGTAAAAAAAAAAAACAATCGCGAAAAAAATATGGTTTTCGGGAGAACTAAACACAATAAGTGTAAAAAAGGCAGTTTATTTTAAACCCGCTGATCATGATAATTTGTTTAATAATACGACTTTTCTCCTGCTGGTAACTTTCTGGGGGAGGAGGCGGGGGGGGGGAGCTGGTGGCGAGCGGGGCCTTATCATCACAGGCGTGTGGAAAGAGGCAGATCTGGATTTTTCTAGGGTGTGATTTTTTTTCTAGGTGTGTGATTCTGTGGCCCAAGTTGGGAATGAACAATCTGGTATTTGTTTCGGAGTACGTGTTCCGAAACAGCTGCAGTCTGTCGATAGCAGTGGCGTAGCCACGGGGGGGGGGGGGGGGGGGGGGGGATGCCCCCCCCCCCCCCCGTGGCTACGCCACTGGTCGATAGACAGACCGACCAACCGACTGATGACATGTAGAAGCTCCTGCCAGAGCTTAAAAGACGTGCGATGATCCGCAACTGGAGGCGAACCAGCCCTCTCGCGATCTCGTGAAACGCCATTCCCATACCATTCACACTAGCTACCTTTACTAACCCTAATCCCCAACAGGTTTTCTCAAGGCCCCCTGCCAAATGCAACTTGGTTGAAATAGAACCCTGCTAAAATGCAACCAAAAGCAACACTACACTGGATTCTGTTGTACAGTATTGCCTTTTCACTATGAGCAGTAACCCTGCTAAATGCAACAAGATGCAACGAGCACGGGGACTTGAGTTGCCTGCTACATGCAACAGTATGCAACAACTTTTAACCTTTTTTGCTTACTGTTGCATTTAGCAGTGTGAGGTTAATCCCCTTAAGTCAGTGCAAACACATACTTTTCCCTTTATTGATCGTCATTGTGTTGCAACCTAAGCCTTTGTGTACCGTTAGCTTTCCTGGCAACTTACGGCAGAGTCAATTCTTGAACACTCAACCGGGAGCATCAGACAGTAACCACACGTATACATGTATAGTGTAATGCGCCCTGCTTTGACGCAATCACATTTGCCACCCACAAGAAACTCGGAAAGTTGTGGTTCGGTGGAACACTGCATGATCTCCTCAGCAGGGATGTAATAAGGCGCCAGTTGACTGAGCAGATTGACATGAAGCGCCCCCTCCCCCTGATGACGCCATCTTCAGATTGACGTGTTGACTTGAAGATTCCACTTTGTGCTAGACGAATTTATAGTGGTATTTATTCCATTATATTCCTTCTTTCACATGTGGTCCATCTTATGTAAGGCTATCTGATGTAAGCCTACACTCAGGTATTCGGCCACACTTACGCCTTTGTCACACGGTGCCGTCTGGCATGCCGATGGTGTCACGACCATAGAGATTGGCAAAACTGGACGAGGACTGGACGGCAACTGCTCTGAACGGGGAGCTCGTGCTGGGGACTTGTGGGGACTGCATAATAGGTCGTGATAGACACTGGAAGGTCCTGCCAGAATGGTTAAGTGCCCAACTGTTTTCAACATGTTCAAAACAAAAAGGGGACACTCTCCCGTCCAATTCACAACGGGGTAAGGACGCTGCAATTCGGTCGGGCGTGGATCGAACGGCCTGGACGTGGGACAGCCACGAAAGCAGTCCAGAGCAACGTTGTGAGTACTGCATGCGCGGAGCTGCATTAGGACTGTCTTTTAATCACGAGTCTTCTTAGTCTAAGCCGTGCTTACAAAGGGCCTACCCAGAACTCCGCCCGTTGCGAGCACGGGATAAGAGCGTGATAGACTTGACGCCACCGGCTAATTGGACGGGACGAAGACGAAGACGGGTGCGGACGGTTCGTGAACCACTTTTGTCTCGAATAGAACTGCCTGAGAACGGCTTGGACGAGACGAGGACCGTACAAGGACGGGACACGTACGGATTTATGGTCTGAGATCTAAGGTTGGAGCTATCTGTTTTAATTTCCCGCGTCTCAGCCACGCTTCAATAAATTTATTTTGGTCGTGACCATCGCATCACGCACGGGGCTAGAGAACGGCACTGTGTGACAGGGGCTTGAAAGATTTCAGATCTGGTCAGAGTTTACAAGTGGCCACAATTTTGTTACACTTGCGGACTAATACTTTGCATTAATTGGAGTTCAATTGACTATGTAAAGGCTGGGGCGCGGCCGTTTAAATTCAGAGGCCGTCATGACCTGGGACACATATCACCATGTCATTTCGTTGTGAGTTTTGTTAATATTAAATTATATTTCAAATGAGATTAGTTTCCAGTGTTACTTTGTGTTGAGTAGTCAACGTATCCCGAGGCAAAATGCCTCATAACAATCCCAATAGGCGACATCCCCCAGGCACGAAAAGACTTGAAGTGAATGATAATTATCGAATGACGTACATGAATTTTGTGGACTTTTATTCTAGCTTCACCATGCTTGCTTTGTCTTGTTTACTGACAGAAAAACGACTCCAAGAGTCGGGACACCAGACAAGATGGCGGACTCTCAAAGCCACAGGACGGTAGGCCGCACCCGCAAATTAGCACCCTCACAGAGACGGCACTCCTGTGAGATTTGCGGCAAGTCTGTGAAGAATAGAGCCAGCCTAGTAATCCATCTGCGCACTCACACCAAGGAGAGGCCGTTCGCCTGCGACGTCTGCGGGAAAGCCTTCATGGAGAAGGGCCACGTCCGGCGCCACAAGCGGATCCACACCAACTACAAGCCGTACGTCTGCGACATCTGCGGAAAGTCGTTCAACCAGAACACGAATCTTCGTCAACACCTACTGACCCACACTGACGATAAGCAATTCCGGTGCGACTACTGCGGACAATCTTTCACGTTCAAGGCCAACCTCCAGGTGCATCTGAGAACACACACCAACGAGAAACCGTACACCTGTGACGTGTGTGGCAAGTCGGTTGCGGTCAAGAGCGATCTTGACAAACATCTACGAACCCACACGAAAGAAAGGCCGTACCGTTGCGACATTTGCGGCAGATGTTTCGGACGGCTGTTCACCCTTACCCAACACGAGCGGCGGATTCACGCGGAGATGTAGCTCCTGACACCAACCATGTCGGTGTAGCGTGAATATCCGACTCCGTGAAAAGTGCACTCATTGGTAGTGTTGCGCATGCGTAAGAACGAGAATATGCTATTTTTAGGATCACATACAGGATAGTGACCTGTCATGTGCGATGGATTAACCAATATTATAGGGAAAAGGGTCCGATTTTCATAGGAGTCGGATTTTCATATGACACCGGCAATACATGTAGAGCCTGAAAGTGCGCCATTTTGTCTTGAAGCGTCCGGACCGCGAAATATTTTCCCAAAGGAGATCGGACAATATAAGAAGAGGGCGCTCTCTCTCTGCGTTATGATGCATATTCAGGGATACAAGTATAACAGGAATAATGGTATTTACTGGTTGTAAGTATAGTCCCGACTTCTAATCAGGCGATCATAGTATGAATCATAGTTTTAAAGGTCCATGATTATAATTTTAATCATCACAGAACAGAAAAAAGTTTTCATTCATTCAAGTGATTATAAGACTTTTAAAACAACTATTTGTATTTTTAAATTTACAACATTTCCCTTGTAATATTTATTTGTCATGTACATTCTTCATGGTATTTGAAGTACAATGTATACAGATTATTTTAGAGACATTTTACATCAACTTTTAATCTGTATAAGTAGGTTGCACTTGTTTAAAATTGTAAACATTTGTACATGTGTATTTAGTTCACTTGTTATCATTACTTTTACTGTTTTAGCCTGATAAGAAGCTGTCCAATTTTGTTAAAAAAATACTTGAAACATGTTCTTAACTCTCCATAGACTTGTGCACAACCGATGAAGTGGTGTCTGGATACTACATTCTTTCCTATTTTTTTTTTTTTTATCAAACTGACGTCAGACGTTCGTATACGTACGCTAAATGAAGAATCCAGGTTGAAGGTCATTCTGGATAAAACGCCGGCTTTTTTAACTAAATGCTATACCAACGGAAATTAATAAAGCATTTTGCGTCACTTGCAACATTTTTGACAATATTGCCTTCGTTTATTATGAAAGCGTCACGCGGCTCCGGGGGGGGGGGGGGTGGTAGAACTGTCAAAAAAAAATTCTCATAGAAATTCTGAAATGTATCCAATAACAGGTCTGAATGATAATGGGGTTTTTTTTGCAAAAAGAAACCAGACATTTTCCTTCCAGCCTCGCTTTGGTTACGTTGATTTGAATGACAAAAAAAATCACGATGGCCGCAACATGAAAAAAGGTAATAGTAAAAACGATAATTTCTGGGCACAAACGCTATAAAATTGTGTGTTGACATAGTACATTAATTTTACATAGTACATTAATTTTATTAAAATCTAACCAACAAATAAGATGAAGGTGTCGCCTGTCAGCGGGCGCAATACATAAAACGTTCCCAAAGGAATGGCATCACAGTCTTGCTAATGAACATGGAAATTCGGAATAACATAAAAACAAAGGAAGTCACCCTTAAAGGGAATGTACAACATTTGCTTTTGCTTCAATTTTCAGAAATACATGTAAATGGATTTGGAGGATTAATATGTTATAGAAAATATTGGTAAACTGACTTGTTTCACGTTTTGGGCTTGTAGATGCTGGAAAAACCAAGAAAACCTATCATGTTCTTGTAGTCTGGTTCCCTGACCCCACTTAAGATGAAACGGAGCAATTAATACACTTTAGGGAATTGTAAGGTCAGAGAATCAGTCTAACAGGCTTGTACCCCTTCAGAGGTGTGTAATCAATTGCAAAGAAAAGTCCAAATAACTAAATATGAACTTTTTTGGAAAAAGGCCAGTTTTCTCCAACGCTGGTCGGCCGACCAGCGTTGGAAAAATACAGGTTTTCTTGAAAATGTCAGCACACCAGGAGCCACGATTTTGCAGGATGCTTTAGACTGTCGGTCCCTAACAATTCAGTAAGGTATTTCGTGATAATTTGATCATTTCCTTTTTTCGTTGTTTGCAAATGTTGTATTTTCCCTAAAACAAATTGAAAATAAGGTTAAACGGGGCACACCGTTGCATTTTCGATGAGCATTAAAAGTACATTACAATGAGCCCTTCGATTCAAATGTCTTCGTTGTGCCCGCACGAAACGTTTCGTGTCGTCAGCTAGACTAAAGGCACTCGACGCTGCTCAGTAGGCTTTCACCACTACTTTTAGCACACAATGACATCGAGTCGTTTTATAATCAACCACTACGAGCGACTCCTACGGTCCATTCATAATTGCCCTGCGATTGATACCTGTTCAGCAAATGCTTCCTCAATGGTGTGCATGTTCAGGTGGTTGTTGAGGCTTCGCGCAAGTCTGACAGACTTATCTCACAAAATGCACCTGTAGGTTTTTTGTTCGGCATGAATCCTACAATGCCCCTTAATTCAGGCTTGGGCTCCACGCAAAAGATCTGCCATAAAAGGTCACATGCGGTCGGTTTCTCATTGGTGTGGATCCCCTCATGCTGCAAGAGCTTGCTTTTCTCCTTAAACCCTTTGTCACAGATGTGGCATGCAAATACTGTCTTCTTGTTCTCGGAGTGAATCTTTTGGTGCCTTTTAAGGTAGTGGTCACGTTCAAACAATTTTCCACAAGTATCGCACGCCTACGGTTTCCGGTGTGGGTTATCTGGTGTCGCTTAAGGTTGTGCATACATTTTAAAGATTGTCCACATATGTCAAATGTGATTCATCCATGTGAGTCATCTTGTGTCGCTTGAGACTTACATTTTGCGTGAACGATTTTCCGCAAATATCACAGGTGTACGGTTTCTCATTTGTATGGGTCATCTTGTGTCGCTGGAGGTTTCCACTGTGCACAAACGATTTCCCGCAGATATCGCATGCGTACGGTTTGTCACTGGTGTGGGTCATCTTGTGAAGCTTGAGGCTTCCATTCTGCAAGAACGATTTCCCGCAAATGTCACATGCGTACTGTTTCTCATTGGTGTGGGTCGTCTTGTGTCGCTGGAGGATATCATTCCGCACAAACGATTTCCCGCAAATGTCACATGCGTATGGTTTCTCATTGGTATGGGTCATTTTGTGTTGTTTGAGGTTTCCATTCCACGTGAACGATTTCCCGCAGATGTTGCATGCGTACGGTTTTTCATTGATATGTGTCATCTTGTGTTGCTTCAGGTAATCATTCAGCACAAACGATTTCCCGCAGATGTCGCATGCGTGCGGTTTCTCGTTGGTGTGGGTCATCATGTGTCGCTTGAGGCTTCCATTCTGCGTGAACGATTGTCCGCAGATGTCGCATCTGTACGGTCTCTCATTCGTGTGGGTCAACTTGTGTTGCTTGAGGTTTCTATTTCGTGCAAATGATATCCCACAGATATCGCAGGCGTGCGGTTTTTCACCCATGTGGGTCTTGTGTCGCTTGTTGCTGAACCGATCTCCGAAAGTCTGTCCACATTGGTAGCAAGTCAACGGTTGGTCATCGGTGAGGGTCAGCTGGTGTCACTTGAGTGAACATTTCTCATTGATAGAACTGGGACGCTCTTTGGACAAATGCTGGTGTTTTGCAGCCCGTTGAGGCTGTCACTTGCAAGTCCGATGCCTTAATTGATTCAGACTTTTCGAGTTAGCTGTGTAAAAACAAATCAGAGCACAAAATGTGACAATTTACCCTGAAAATGGCATAATACGTTTGTGCTTCTATCATACGACGAAATTATCATAAACGTTGCCCCCCAGGCAGTGGCGGAGATTTCTTGTTACAGGTGGGGGGATGATTTTTGAAAGGCCATCCTTGTGTGGAACGCGACACGGCACGGGGTCCAAGAAACCGCTTAAGGGCCCCCTGGTGGGGTGCAGGCGCAAAGCCCTTGCTAGGGGTTGAGGTAACCCCCCCCCCCGGAGCCCCTGGGGTTTACACAATTTTAGGTGCAAAATGGTGTCAAAATTCAACCTTTTCTTGAGCTTGAATTGCAATAAATGACAATAATTAACACCTTCAAGCATTAAAAAATACAAAAGATCTTCAAAACTAAAATTTCTCATTCAATGTATTTGGAAGTGTAGGCCTAAGCTTTCTTTGCACAATGGAGCTCTGGTCACCTAGCAACACAAATAATGCCTATGTATTATTTTAAGTATAATTATTTACAAAATAATTAATGCAAAATAATGCCTAGATGCATTTTGGTAAGGTATGATTAGAATGTGATTTGGTCTACACTCTACAAAAACTATGAAAACATATGGTGGACAATGATGTATACCTGACGACAGTGGCGTAGCCAGGAATTTTTCAGTGGGGGCGCTGGGGGGGGGGGGCTGGAACATTTCATTGGGGGGGGGCGTCATGTAGGGGTGTCAATCGCTTGTCAAAAGTGGGGGGGGGGACATACCTTGATCAGAACTGATGCGAGCGCGAAGCGGGAAGCCCTTACGGCGTGGGGGTTCGGGGCCCGCTTAAGGGCCCCGAAAAAAAATGGATTCTAGATGTTCATTTGGTGTGATCTGAAGCAATTTCTTACCACTTTCCTCCATGCTTTAACTAATATTTCCAGCAAAAGAAAATTATTTGAACATCGTTTTCGAGGTTGGAGTCATTGAATCAGCTATCGGTATTCTGAGCTATAGGCGTGGGGTTCGGGGCCCGCTTAAGGGCCTCGAAAAAAATTGGATTCTCGATGCTCTGTGGTGTGATCTGAGGCAATTTCTTACCTACATTGTAGTACATAACAGGGCCCTGTTAATGAGACACGAGTTCAAAAGTCTGGGGGGGGGGACATTTGATATTGTGTCCCCCACCCTTTAAAAGGGGGGAGGGGGGACCAGTCCCCCTGTCCCCCAGGATTGACGCCCATGGCGTCATGTAGATCAATGATAATTTTTTTAGAAACTCAAAATCTCAGTTGGGGGGGGGGGGGGGGGGGTGGGGGTGACAAGGTTTCATTGGGGGGGGGGGGGCGGTCAACCCCCCCCCCCCCCACTCCCCCGGTGGCTACGCCACTGCATGCATGAGAGAGTTGTTGCGGCGGTCCTGTTTATAATCCTCTGCTAATGAATACATGTACATAAAATGGTGCGGCTTATACGATGGTGCGGCTTATACGCTGTGGCCTGAATTTTATTCTGAAGTTTTTGGAGCGCTGCGGCTTATATACAGGGCGGCTTATATTCCGAAAATTACGGTAAGCGAACGACACTTGCACTTGCTGGGCTGCGTGGTGCTGGCCTGTCAAGGGGTATTGGCAAGTTACGGACCCTGCCCAAATTAGTACGCCTGCCTTAAAAAAGTGGGGGGGGGGGGGTGATTACATTGGTCATCCCCCCCCCCCCCGGTCAAAAGGTTGGGGGATATATCCCCCCATCCCCCCCCGGATCTCCGCCCATGATACAGTGTATAGAGAGTAGCCAGAATCCATCCATTGTATAAAAATGGTTCAGTTCATTTGACTTGTTACCCAATTGTGTAAGGTCAGGGGCCCCACGCTGGAAGGCTTCACAGAGGGTCCGTGTTTCATTGCACAAATTCAGGGCAAAGTTGTTCATATAGAACCAGGTTGCTGTACGCCAGCAGCCAAGCATTTACTGCCGAAATCTATGAATGTGTTGTGTGTACATGTAGTTGTACTAAGTTGTAACAGTTGCCACAGTAATACCGTGTTAATGGTCAACGTTAAACCAATAAGTAATACATTATTTCAGCTACCTTACACTTACCAACACTACAATCAAAAGGCCATCAGTGGAGGGAATCACCCGGGAAGATTGAAACTCTGGTCACATCCGACAGAGCGGCCAAACCAAGAGTATAGGCTTTATACGTGAACATCGATAGCATGTGCATGGAGGTCCCGAGTTTATTCTGAACACAGGGCGCATTGCACCATACGTGTACATATAGCAACTGGCTGTTGTGACTAAATGCCAAGAAATGCCAGTGCAGTGATTTGCCAGGAAAGCTTATCACGTTCACAAAAGGCTAGGACGAAACACAATGACGGTCAATAAAGGGAGTATACAACATGTACGTGCCTGCGTTTTCCCTGACCTGACGCTCGATTACTTCCCCCGTGCTTACTCGTGCAAGCACTGTCGTGGCGTTCGATTTACCTCTCACGTGAATTCTCGCGCTTACTGGAGCCTGGCCCAGGTAACCGACTCGCTGAGTCGGTTGCGATTTGTATTTCCACACCACACGCTCTCTAGTATACCTGTATATAGAATTATGCTGGAGGGCCCTATATATACTATAATATAATGTTTACACTGTTATTTCGGTTGTGTAAAAATCAGACGGTTGTGTACTATATGAACCTAGCAACCCGTTGTGTAAACTGTTGTTACTAACACAACTTGTGTAAATATTACACAATTTGTGTAAAATATTACACAACTTGTTCAATTTTTTTACACAACTGGTTGCTAGGTTCATATAGTACACAGCCGAAATAACAGTGTAAAACAACCTCTTCGAATTTGTCACTGCTGATCGAGTTGTAGTGGAAACTACGTTGGATTACAAATCCGATGGTGCGAGTTCGATTCCCATTGGATGCTTTTTCGATTTCTTCTTCTCTACTTCTTCTTTTTTTTCTCGTAAAAAGGTTTGTTAGTCATTCGGAACATTTTTCTTTTACCAATATGTGGTTTGGAGGATTTTTTTTCAATAAAGTCCGAGAACCTGACTTGCAAGTCAATTAAAGTACTTCAAATACGCCCATAACGATTGTATGTGTATGTACGGGAAAAAAATTCGCGTCCGGTGGGCGCCTCGATCAGTGTCATGTCAAAGTTCAACTTTCCAGCTCTTGCACGAAACTTTACCCGCAGCCTCAGCCTCGACTCCAGGGGCGCGTGTTCGTTCCTTACACTAACCCCTGGCTGTGATGATGACGTAAATGACGCTGAATAAGGGAATAAATGTGTGCTCGAGAGGTTTTTATCACTCTGTTTAAGACCACTTAGAGTCTGGGTGCTGATAATTACCCGAGTCGGAGGCGAGGGTAATTATCAGCACCCAGACTCTAAGCGGTCTTAAACAGAGTGATAAATACCGATCGGGCACATTTATTCCCATTCATAAATACCTTTTCGGTCAAAAATAAAGGGAATAATTCGTTCAAAAAATCCCGATTTTGTTCCCTTTTATGGAGATTGACGCGCGCGTAGCATGTTCTGCGCGATGTCGCGCAGAACGCACCTGTGGCGTTGCGTTTTGAATTTAGAACTATAAAATTCTGACTCCCTGGTAGTGTTGCGCATGCCTACGGGAGGATTGTGAACGTTCAACCAATGAAACGGTAAGAGGCACTGGATTTTAGGAGTCCACATTTTATTGTGACACTGGAAAAGTGTTTAAGACCAGCTAGCCATGTCTTTATCATCCGTTTAAGACCGGCCACGTGACGGGCTCTCGACCAATAGGAATAGCTAAACTGTCTGAGGTATTTATGAATGGCTATTCACAGCGTACTGCGCGGGCATTTCGAAGATTGCACGCCGGGCGCGCCCATAATGCGCTCGCGCTCGCGTGCTTAGCTTTGCACGTAACGTCACGTACGAAAAAAAATTATGATTCAAAAGTCGCGAAGCCTGTGTACGATATGGATTATATCAGCCGCGTTTTTTCGCTAAAAAAAACCCTGTATCTGTGGTTGTAAAGGCACGAAAGAGGTACGTACATTTAATACAAATCTTTGCTAATTAACACAACGTCCAAACGTTGTGTTTGAAAGGATTGATTCTTCAAAATCACAACTTTTAACATTTTACTGCGTCGGCACGTAAAACGGATAAACTGCAGCCTAATTATAATGTGCCATATTTTGACACATTTAAATTACACAATTCCATGGGTTAAGATCGCGCAAGGCATGATGGGAAACAACATGGCGCAGCACGATGGTACCACTGATCTCTATATAAAGACTGGATAGCGGATGTGCATACAACATTCACACAGTAGACTTTGCATATTGACTAATTCGCCCCCGGTCTCACGAAGATGGCCGCGAATATACGAACGTTCTACGCGTAAATACGCGCGCGTTGTATCAACAGTTGACGCGCATTTTGGTCACGTACACATATTATGATGTTCTAAAAAGGACACATTTCCGTAGTGATTATTATTTCAAAAACGCCGAAAAAGTGATTTGCGGCATTATAAAAGTAACCACGACCTTAGAAAAATTGTAGTAAACCTCAGTTGGTCAGTGGTGATGGCCAAAATATATGTCAAGTGAACCGCGACGTTACAAAAGAAATCATGCTGTCTATAAAGACGGCAACTTGTCCTTTGTAGATCACCAGCCGGTCTCACCAATATGGCGTCAAATTCGTTTATTGTGCGGCTCTTTATTAGCTATCCAGTCTTTATATAGAGATCAGTGGATGGTACCCATGGGGAACGAGGTTGCTTTACCCGAAACCGTTGTCTATTTCGCTCCACTGCGCATGTCTGTCATCACGGGAGGAGCAGGCGCAAGTAAGCTGGGGGAAGCTAATCGAACGTGCTCTAAGGGATGGGATTACATGTAATGGTGAGATCCAGTAAGCACCGCCCCATGGTATTCTGACCAATCACAGCCGTGATTTATGTCCGACGTGCGTGCACAAAAGTCCGACATGCGTGCACGCGCGCGGCAGGAAAATGCAGTGTGGCATTGGAGAGGAGCACGTGTTAGGCCACAAAAAAAATATTCGGTCTCTGGTCAGACCAAAGTTCCGGAATTGACGCGGGGACGCGGCTTTTTTTTTTTTTTTTGGCTTTTTTTTTTTTCTTGGAGCTTGGATTGTACAGACAAGGTGGGGTACTATTTTGCTATTTGGTGTCCTCATGTACATTGGTGTCCTCCATAATTTGCCTTGGTGCTCTCGATCATTTGCCTTGGTGCAATTTCCCATTCCTTGTTGCTCTTTGGTAAAAAAAAAAATGAGGAGGTGCGGCAATAGAGGGCGCTGTTGGAGCTACCGCGGAACATTTTGGAAAAAAAAAAGATTGACGCGCATGATTAAAATCGACGCGCGCGCTGACCAGAGACCGACTTATTATTTTTTTTGGCCTTAATTTGCCCACGTGCGCACTGGGCGGGGCTTACTGGATCGGTCCATTGGTATGGGTAAAGCGAGAGTGCTGGTTTGCTTCCATGTCGCGGGTAATGGCATTTACAGTATAGAGTCTCAATAATACAAACTCGTTCGGACCTATCGAAATTGTTTGTTACATGTATATCAGAATTAAGAGGAATATCGGTCCCATTTAATGTGCACATACATGCACAGTCAGGACCAAGGCTTTATGTCTGTTATAACCAGAATTTGTATTAACAGAGTTTGTACTAACGAGAGTCTGCACACCTCCATCTTTTAACTGAGCCAGGTCTGACGTACGGGGACTCAATAACTTGGGATTTTATTAGCTCCAGCATGCACTCTTGTAGCCTAATATTACACAATGTATAAGACTTGATGACGACCGTATCTGTTGTTATGTACATGAGTTCACTTGGGCGATTGACGAATTCACATTGAAAAAGGAACACGTTTATACATTGACAGTTTAGCTAATTTTAAGATTCACAGTACATGTACATCTGGTATATTCCTTAGACTTATGCACACTGGTCTTTGGAAAGTGTCTAAAAGCGCCCTCCACTGTTCCACTGCCCTCCACCATATCGATTAATTAGTACCTTGTTGCAAACAATCATGCGCAAACTTTAGGGGGCGCAATACATAAAACATTCCCAAAGGAATGGCATCACAGTCTTGCTAATGAACATGGAAATTCGGAATAACATAAGAACAAAGGAAGCCACCCTTAAAAACAGTAACACAACACCGTTGCATTTTCGGTGAGCATTAAAAGTACATTGCAATGAGCCCTTCGATTCAAATATCATGGTTGTGCCCGCATGAAACGTTTCGTGTCGTCAGCCAGACTAAGGGCACTCGACGCTGCTCAGTAGGCTTTCACCACTACTTTTAGCCCACAATGACAACGAGTCGTTTTATAATCAACCACTACGAGCGACTTCTACGGTCCATTCACAATTGCCCTGCGATTGATGCCTGTTCAGCAAATGCTTCCTAAATGGTGTGCATGTTCAGGTGGTTGTTCAGGCTTCGCGCATGTCTGACAGACTTATCTTACAAAATGCACCTGTAGGTTTTTTGTTCGGCATGAATCCTACAATGCCCCTTCAGGCTTGGGCTCCACGCAAAAGATCTGCCATAAAAGGTCACATGCGGTCGGTTTCTCATTGGTGTGGATCCCCTCATGCTGCAAGAGCTTGCTTTTCTCTTTAAACCCTTTGTCACAGAATTGACATGCAAATACTGTCTTCCTGTTCTCGGAGTAAATCTTTTTGTGCCTTTTAAGGCAGTGGTCACGTTCAAACAATTTTCCACAAGTATCGCACGCCTACGGTTTCCGGTGTGGGTTATCTGGTGTCGCTTAAGGTTGTGCATACATTTTAAAGATTGTCCACAGATGTCAAATGTGATTCATCCATGTGAGTCATCTTGTGTCGCTTGAGACTTACATTTTGCGTGAACGATTTTCCGCAAATATCACATGTGTACGGTTTCTCATTTGTATGGGTCATCTTGTGTCGCTGGAGGTTTCCACTGTGCATAAACGATTTTCCGCAGGTACCGCATGGGTACGGTTTGTCACTGGTGTGGGTCATCTTGTGAAGCTTGAGGCTTCCATTCTGCAAGAACGATTGCCCGCAAATGTCACATGCGTACAGTTTCTCATTGGTGTGGGTCGTCTTGTGTCGCTTGAGGATGTCATTCCGCACAAACGATTTCCCGCAGATGTCACATGCGTATGGTTTCTCATTGGTATGGGTCATTTTGTGTTGTTTGAGGTTTCCATTCCACGTGAACGATTTCCCGCAGATGTTGCATGCGTACGGTTTTTCATTGATATGTGTCATCTTGTGTTGCTTCAGGTAATCATTCAGCACAAACGATTTCCCGCAGATGTCGCATGCGTGCGGTTTCTCGTTGGTGTGGGTCATCATGTGTCGCTTGAGGCTTCCATTCTGCGTGAACGATTGTCCGCAGATGTCGCATCTGTACGGTCTCTCATTCGTGTGGGTCAACTTGTGTTGCTTGAGGTTTCCATTTCGTGCAAATGATATCCCACAGATATCGCAGGCGTGCGGTTTTTCACCCATGTGGGCCTTGTGTCGCTTGATGCTGAACCGATCTCCGAAAGTCTGTCCACATTGGTCGCAAGTCATAGGTTGGTCATCGGTGAGGGTCAGCTGGTGTCACTTGAGTGAACATTTCTCATTGATAGAACTGGGACGCTCTTTGGACAAATGCTGGTGTTTTGCAGCCCGTTGAGGTTGTCACTTGCAAGTCCGATGCCTTAATTGATTCAGACTTTTCGAGTTAGCTGTGTAAAAACAAATCAGAGCACAAAATGTGACAATTTACCCTGAAAATGGCATAATACGTTTGTGCTTCTATCATACAACGAAATTATCATAAACGTTGCCCCCCAGGGATGTTTCCCCTTTAATTTCTTCAAATGAAATAAATATGTGTCATGCCTTCAGAGCCCACCTGTCAATCTATTATGAAGCGATATAAGGGGTCCAGGTGTATGTGGGGGCACGCCCTCCGAGCATTTTAGAAATGTACAATATTGGCCTACGTTCTATAAAGGCATTTGGGGAATATAAATTTAGGAACTTTATAATTCCATAATTGTTTTCGCCCAATTTTACTGGGGGGGGGGGGGGGGGTGGTGGACGCAACCCGCCCCAACACCACGTCCCTCTAGGCAGAGCAGTAGCCGATCTATGGAGCTCTATACATCGGCTAAAGCTCAGCCTCCGCAGCTACATGTACTGCTGTGCCCGCTTCCCCCTCCCTCGGGTCCTGAACAAATATGTGCATCCCAGTGCCCCCCCCCCCTTCCCCCTCCCGGCAAGGCAGAAGTTTATCCTTCGGAAACACGCGTATAGATTAGCAACTTTCTACTCCTTTGTAAAAACAATTTGACATTCTTCTTGTGAATTTCATTTAAAATGCATTTCGTTCAACATTTTAAATTGTAACTGATTTTCCCGACAACCGAGGGCGCTGTAAGTGTGAAGTCATTTCAGGAAGATACTGTTAATTCTTTAGGGCTTTTTCTGTTCAAATAGTGAACCCAAAGTGTGCTCTTTGAAATCACGAGAAAGAGTAGCTTTAATGCCATATACATGTATATTTAGTACTGACACAACAACAAAAATCACAAAGGAAAAGCAACATAAATATTCAAAATTCCTGCCATTTTTTTTTGTGCAGAAATAAATAGCCGTAACATTGACGTTTATCCCTGGGATGACAATTTTAGCACGACAACCAAAAACAAACCCAATTAACACGAAAATTGAAAATCATCAAGTGAAATGGAATCCAGTGTTTCATCTTCCATATGGGAGAACTAGGGATAGCATTTGCTCACTCGCCACTAGTGCAGCTCTGTTTACGTGGGAAGACTGGATCATATATCTAGGCGCTCTCAGCAAACTTTCGTTAATACGCGGAAAGTATGTTGGTTAAACTTACTTCCTCGCATCGCATCATAAAATATAGGTTTTCTGCTTTCCAATGAATATAATTTCTTCATGGTTAAAGGCGAATATTTATGTGCACGTTTTCATTGAAAAACGGGTAACTCAGTGAAAATTTCGCGTTTCTTATGGAGGTCACGGCACATTTTCCCGTTTTTTGAGGGTGCGGGTTTACTTCTTCGAACAGCACACGTGTGAACCCGGTCGCATACAATTACCTCGCACGGTTTCTGAAAGATAAAACAATAAGCTTTCCATTCATGTAACAACCGTTTTGATTCGTTGAGAAGAACAAGGGGCACTTTTCTTGTCATATCAGACATCGCTTTTGTTCCGAGGATCGACCTGCTGCTTATGTATAGTCCGGGCTACGCAGTGGGGCTATATGCAGGTCGCCGGGTTAATGCACCGTTGTGTGTGACCGCAGAGCATGCAGGGCTTTGATTTTCTGCACAAAATGGGTGGCAAAGTTCTCCATATGAAGGACCGCATTAAGAAAACGCATGTGACCGAAATTCTCTTTCAACAATCTTCTTTGATTTCGAAAAAATATCATTGAAGAGGCTAGAAATTTCGTTTTCTTACCAATCCAAACTCCTCAGTACGCAGAATGACACAGGAATTAGGTGGTATGAGTGTGTGTAGCTTCCAGTAATTCAGGACAAGTTGATACAATAAATGGGCCGCTCCACCGTGACCTCAGTCGAATCTTTTCACGTTCACACTGTACATTGTATAGGGGACGCCGACTTTACTGTTATTGCTTCACTTTACGCTACAGATGATTTTGGCGCGAATAGACCTTTCTGCGCTTGGTTTAACCACGGCCTGCAAAACAATGGAAGGTCGAACACTGCAAAAATGAAGAAGAGTTAATTACAGATCGCTAAAATATTTATTTGATACTTGAAACTACAACATTTTCAACAAAGCTACAAAATAATTCCCACATATGCCTTTTTACTATGTGTTGATGGCGTTATGAGGACATTTTTGGAAAAATGTGTTGCCAACCACGGCTTCAATTTATGCGCTTACGGCAGCCCATACAAAATGGCGCCAATGTTTACAAACAAAAGAAAGGCATGGTTTATGTTATATCTCGCCTTTATAGTACAGTCTATTGAATCTTGTAAATTTTATACCATTGTTAATGTGCTGAAGAAGGCATACATTATTATTTTACAATAAAACTTCATTTAGCTGAACTCCAAACTCTTGCATTCTGTAAAAATACTACATGCATAATCCATACAGTGTATAGAGAGTAGCCAGAATCCACCCATTGTGTGAAATTGTCCAGTCCATTGGACTTGTTACCCAATTGTGTAAGGTCAGGGCCATGCTGTACGGCTTCACAGAGGGCCCGTGGTTTATTGCACAAATTCAGGGCAAAGTTGTTCATATAAAACCTTTGCGGGATGGGATTACATGTAATTGGTCTGGGTAAAGCGAGAGTGCTGGTTTGCTTCCATGTCGCGGGTAATGGCATTTACAGTCGAGTCTCGTTAATACAAACTCGTTCGGACCTATCGAAATTGTTCGTTATATCAGAATTTTGTATTAAGAGGAATATCGGTCCCATTCAATGTGCACATACATGCACAGTCAGGACCAAGGCTGTATGTCTGTTATAACCAGAATTTGTATTAACAGAGTTTGTACTAAAGAGAGTCTGCACAGCGCCATCTTTTAAATGAGCCAGGTCTGACGGGGACTCAATAACTTGGGTTTTTATTAGCTCCAGCATGCACTCTTGTAGCCTAATATTATAAGACTTGATGACGACCGTATCTGTTGTTATATATGTACATGAGTTCACTTGGGCGATTGACGAATTCACATTAAAAAAAGGAACACGTATATACATTGACAGTTTAGCTAATTTTAAGATTCACAGTACATGTACATCTGGTATATTCCTTAGACTTATGCACACTGGTCTTTGGAAAGTGTCTAAAAGCGCCCTCCACTGTTGTATATACACCATATCGATTAAAATTGTTGCAAACAATCATGCGCAAACTTTTGGGGAACCTTATGACATTCACTGCTCGCACACTATACACACGTTGCGTGCTTGGTCGTGGAGAATGTTGCGATGTCGGAAAATTTACGTTTTAAGGCCCTCCAGGGCCACCATATATGCACATCGTGCCGTTGAGGGCGCCGTCAAAGATTTTTATCATGCTGCCATCATTTCAGTTCCCTGTATCCAATAACAGTACTGAATGATAATGTTTGTTTTTTTGCAAAAAGAAACCAGACATTTTCCTTCCAGCCTCGCTTTGGTTACGTTGATTTAAATGAGAAAAAAAATCACGATGGCTGCAACATGAAAAAGGTAAAAGTAAAAATGATAATTTCTGGGCACAAACGCTATAAAATTGTGTGTTGACACAGTACATTAATTTTACATAGTACATTAATTTTATTGAAATCTAACCAAAACAATAAGATTAAGGTGTCGCCTGTCAGCGGGCGCAATACATAAAACGTTCCCAAAGGAATGGCATCACAGTCTTGCTAATGAACATGGAAATTCGGAATAACATAAGAACAAAGGAAGTCACCCTTAAAGGGAATGTACAACATTTGCTTTTGCTTCAATTTTCAGAAATAAATGGATTAGGAGGATTAATATGTTATAGAAAATATTGGTAAACTGACTTGTTTCACGTTTTGGGCTTGTAGATGCTGGAAAAACCAAGAAAACCTATCATGTTCTTGTAGTCTGGTTCCCTGACCCCACTTAAGATGAAACGGAGCAATTATTAATACACTTTAGGAAATGGTAAGGTCAGAGAATCAGTCTAACAGGCTTGTACCCCTTCAGAGGTGTGTAATCAATTGCAAAGAAAAGTCCGAATAACTAAATATGAACTTTTTTGGAAAAAAGCCAGTTTTCTCCAACGCTGGTCGGCCGACCAGCGTTGGAAAAATACAGGTTTTCTTGAAAATGTCAGCACACCAGGAGCCACGATTTTGCAGAATGCTTTAGACTGTCGGTACCTAACAATTCAGTCAGGTATTTCGTGATAATTTCATCATTTCCTTTTTTCGATGTTTGCAAGTGTTGTATTTTCCCTAAAACAAATTGAAAATAGGGTTAAACGGGGCACACCGTTGCATTTTCGATGAGCATTTAAAGTACATTACAATGAGCCCTTCGATTCAAATATCTTGGTTGTGCCCGCACGAAACGTTTCGTGTCGTCAGCTAGACTAAGGGCACTCGACGCTGCTCAGTAGGCTTTCACCACTACTTTTAGCCCACAATGACAACGAGTCGTTTTATAATCAACCACTACGAGCGACTCCTACGGTCCATTCATAATTGCCATGCGATTGATACCTGTTCAGCAAATGCTTCCTCAATGGTGTGCATGTTCACAGGTGGTTGTTGAGGCTTCGCGCAAATCTGACAGACTTATCTCACAAAATGCACCTGTAGGTTTTTTGTTCGGCATGAATCCTACAATGCCCCTTCAGGCTTGGGCTCCACGCAAAAGATCTGCCATGAAAGGTCACATGCGGTCGGTTTCTCATTGGTGTGGATCCCCTCATGCTGCAAGAGCTTGCTTTTCTCCTTAAACCCTTTGCCACAGATGTGGCATGCAAATACTGTCTTCCTGTTCTCGGAGTAAATCTTTTGGTGCCTTTTAAAGTAGTCGTCACGTTCAAACAATTTTCCACAAGTATCGTCCGCCTACGGTTTCCGGTGTGGGTTATCTGGTGTCGCTTAAGGTTGTGCATACATTTTTAAGATTGTCCACAGATGTCAAATGTGATTCATCCATGTGAGTCATCTTGTGTCGCTTGAGACTTACATTTTGCGTGACCGATTTTCCGCAAATATCACATGTGTACGGTTTCTCATTTGTATGGGTCATCTTGTGTCGCTGGAGGTTTCCACTGTGCACAAACGATTTCCCGCAGATATCGCATGGGTACGGTTTCTCACTGGTGTGGGTCATCTTGTGAAGCTTGAGGCTTCCATTCTTCGAGAACGATTTCCCGCAAATGTCACATGCGTACGGTTTCTCATTGGTATGGGTCATCTTGTGTTGTTTGAGGTATCCAATGAGCGCAAACGTTTTCCTGCAGATGCTGCATGCGTATGGTTTCTCATTGGTGTGGGTCATCTTGTGTTGCTTGAAGCTTCCATTCTGCGAGAACGATTTCCCGCATATGTCACATGCGTACGGTTTCTCATTGGTATGGGTCATTTTGTGTCGTTTGAGGTGTCCATTCCGCGTGAACGATTTCCCGCAGATGTCGCATGCATACGGTTTCTCATTTGTATGGGTCCTCTTGTGTCGCTGGAGGCTTCCACTGAGCGCAAACGTTATCCCGCAGATGTCGCACACGTAAGGTTTTTCATTGGTGTGGGTCACCTTGTGTTGCTTGAGGTAAACATTCAGCGCAAACGATTTCTCGCAGATGTCACATGCGTACGGTTTCTCATTGGTATGTGTCATCTTGTGTTGCTGGAGGTAATCATTCAGCGCAAACGATTTTCCGCAGATGTCACATGCGTGCGGTTTCTCGTTGGTGTGGGTCATCTTGTGTCTCTTGAGTTTAGCATTCCCCACGTACGAGTTCCCGCAGATGTCGCACGCGTACGGTTTCTCAATGGTATGGGTCATCTTGTGTTGTTTGAGGTTTCTATTTTTCTTGAACGACATCCCGCATATGTTGCATGCATACGGTTTCTCATTGGTGTGGGCCATCTTATGTTGCTTGAGGTTTCCATTCTTCGTGAACGATATCCCACAGATGTCGCATGCGTAGGGTTTTTCATTGGTGTGGGTCGTCTTGTGTCGCTTGAGGATATCATTCCGCGCAAACGATTTCCTGCAGATGTCACATGCGTGTGGTTTCTCATTGGTATGGGTCATTTTGTGTTGTTTGAGGTTTCCATTCCGCGCGAACGATTTCCCGCAGATGTTGCATGCGTACGGTTTTTCATTGATATGTGTCATCTTGTGTTGCTTCAGGTACTCATTCAGCACAAACGATTTCCCGCAGATGTCGCATGCGTGCGGTTTCTCGTTGGTGTGGGTCATCATGTGTCGCTTGAGGCTTCCATTCTGCGTGAACGATCGTCCGCAGATGTCGCATCTGTACGGTCTCTCATTCGTGTGGGTCAACTTGTGTTGTTTGAGGTATTCATTCCGCGTGAACGATTTCCCGCAGATGTTGCATGCGTACGGTTTTTCATTGATATGTGTCATCTTGTGTTGCTTCAGGTAATCATTCAGCACAAACGATTTCCCGCAGATGTCGCATGCGTGCGGTTTCTCGTTGGTGTGGGTCATCATGTGTCGCTTGAGGTTTCCATTCTGCGTGAACAATTGTCCGCAGATGTCGCATCTGTACGGTCTCTCATTCGTGTGGGTCAACTTGTGTTGCTTGAGGTTTCCATTTCGTGCAAACGATATCCCACAGATATCGCAGGCGTGCGGTTTTTCACCCATGTGGGTCTTGTGTCGCTTGATGCTGAACCGATCTCCGATAGTCTGTCCACATTGGTCGCAAGTCAACGGTTGCTCATCGGTAAGGGTCAGCTGGTGTCACTTGAGTGAACATTTCTCATTGATAGAACTGGGACGCTCTTTGGACAAATGCTGGTGTTTTGCAGCCCGTTGAGGTTGTCACTTTCAAGTCCGATGCCTTAATTGATGCAGACTTTTCGAGTTAGCTGTGTAAAAAAAAATCAGAGCACAAAATGTGACAATTTACCCTGAAAATGGCATAATACGTTTGTGCTTCTATCATACAACGAAATTATCATAAACGTTGCCCCCCAGGGATGTTTCCCCTTTAGTTTCTTCAAATGAAAAAAATATGTGTCATGCCTTCAGAGCCCACCTGTCAATCTATTATGAAGCGATATAAGGGGTCCAGGTGTATGTGGGGGCACGCCCTCCGAGCATTTTAGAAATGTACAATTTTGGCCTACGTTCTATAAAGGCATTTCGGGAATAAATTTAGGAACTTTATAATTCCATAATTGTTTTCGCCCAATTTTACTGGGGGGGGGGGGGACGCAACCCGCCCCCAACACCACGTCCCTCTAGGCAGAGCAGTAGCCGATCTATGGAGCTCTATAGCTCGGCTACTGCTCAGCCTCCGCAGCTACATGTACTGCTGTGCCCACTCCCCCCTCCCTCGGGTCCTGAAAAAATTATGTGCATCCCAGTGCCCCCCCCCCCCTTCCCCCTCCCGGCAAGGCAGAAGTTTATCCTTCGGAAACACATTAGATTAGCAACTTTCTACTCCTTTGTAAAAACAATTTGACATTCTTCTTGAGAATTTCATTTAAAATGCATTTCGTTCAACATTTTAAATTGTAACTGATTTTCCCGACAACCGAGGGCGCTTTAAGTGTGAAGTCATTTCAGGAAGATACTGTTAATTCTTTAGGGCTTTTCTGTTCAAATAGTGAACCCAAAGTGTGCTCTTTGAAATCACGAGAAAGAGTAGCTTTAATGCCATATACATGTATATTTAGTACTTACACAACAACAAAAATTACAAAAGAAAAGCAACATAAATATTCAAAATTCCTGCCCTTTTTTTGTGCAGAAATAAATAGCCGTTAGGCGAAAAAAAAATAAGTCGGTCTCTGGTCAGCGCTCGCGTCGATTTTAATCATGCGTGTCGATCTTTTTTTTCCTCCAAAATGTTCCGCGGTAGCTCCAACAGCGCCCTCTATTTCCGCACCTCCTCAATGTTTTTTTTACCAAAGAGCACCAAGGAATGGGAAATTGCACCAAGGCAAATGATCGAAAGCACCAAGACAAATAATGGAGGACACCAATGTACATGAGGACACCAAAAAAGCAAAATAGTACCCCACCTTGTCTGTACAATCCAAGCTTGAAGAAAAAAAAAAGGCCGCGTGGCCGCGTCAATTCCGGAACTTTGGTCTGACCAGTGACCGAATATTTTTTTTTTTGGCCTAACATTGACGTTTCTCCCTGGGATAACAATTTTAGCATGACAACCACAAATAAACCGATTAACACGAAAATTGAAAATCAAGTGAAATGGAATCCAGTGTTTCATCTTCCATATGGGAGAACTAGGGATAGCATTTGCTCACTTGCCACTAGTGCAGCTCTGTTTACGTGGGAAGACTAGCTCATATCTAAGTAGGCGCTCTCAGCAAACTTTCGTTAATACGTGGAAAGTATGTTGGCTAAACTTACTTCCTCGCATCGCATCATAAAATATAGGTTTTCCTCTTTCAAATGAATATAATTTCTTCATGGTTAAAGGCAAATAATTATGTGCACTTTTCCATTGAAAAACGGGTAACTCAGTGAACATTTCGCGTTTCCTATGGAGGTCACGGCACATTTCTCCGATTTTTAAGGGTGCGGGTTTACTTCTTCGAACAGCACACGTGTGAACCCGGTCGCATACAATTACCTCGCACGGTTTCTGAAAGATAACACAATAAGCTTTCCATTCATGTGACAACCGTTTTGATTCGTTGAGAAGACCAAGGGGCACTTTTCATGTCAAATCAGACATCGCTTTTGTTCTGAGGATCGACCTGCTGTTTATGTATAGTCCGGGCTACGCAGTGGGGCTATGCAGGTCGCCGGGTCAATGCACCGTTGTGTGTGACCGCAGAGCATGCAGGGCGATTTTCTGCACAAAATGGGTGGCAAAGTTCTCCATATGAAGACCCGCATTAAGAAAACACATGTGACCGCAATTCTCTTTCAACAATCTACTTTGGTTTCGAAAAGATATCATTGAAGAGGCTATACATTTCGATTTCTTACCAATCCAAACTCCTCAGTACGCAGAATGACACAGGAATTAGGTGGTATGAGTGTGTGTAGCTTCCAATAATTCAGGACAAGTTGACACAATAAATGGGCCGCTCCACCTCAGTCGAATCTTTTCACGTTCACACTGTACATTGTATATGGGACGCCGACTTTACCGTTATTCAATTGCTTCACTTACGCTATTGCTTGTACAGATGATTATGGTGCGAATAGACCTTTCTGCGCTTGGTTTAACCACGGCCTGCAAAACAATGGAAGGTCAAACACTGCAAAAATGAAGAAGAGTTATTACAGATCACTAAAATATTTATTTGATACTTGAAAATACAACATTTTCAACAAAGCTACAAAATAATTCCCACATATGCCTTTTTACTATGTGTTGATGGCGTTATGAGGACATTTTTGGGAAAAAGTATGTTGCCAACCACGGCTTCAATTTATGCGCTTTCGGCAGCCCATACAAAATGGCGCCAATGTTCACAAACAAAAGAAAGGCCTATACAGAACGGAACGCACGTACTACATTTAAGCCGGCCTAGTACACAAAGCTGAGAGTGGCAGCACAAAGGCATGCTCATTTTTCAAAAGGGTTCAACTACGAGAAACATTTATGCACCGGTTGCATTGAAGAATACGAGGAAATTGAAAACTGGGAAACACTATAATGGCCCATGTTGTGTACACCGTATCGTATTTGGGCCAGGTTGCGAACAAGCGTATTATAATTTTGGGAAATTAGTTTGCACTGAATTCACTACGCACACTCATGCCAACACTTACGAATAGGGCATGTCGCGAAATAAATTTGCGATATCGTGGGAAGTTGTACGATATCTTAAAATAAATGATTTATGTCTTTTCATGTTCCTCCAGGGTCACCGTTGTTAGGCAATAGGGCAATTATTGTGAACGACTGAGGGCGCTATAATTGCGCCAATTTCTGAGCACAAACATGATACAACTGCAACAGTACAGTGAAGTCGTACATTAACTTTACTTAAATCTACAAATATTGTCAAGATGAACCTTGGTTTTAGTCCCTGTGCCCTCAATTTAGCATCCTATAGAACGTCGATCCTCAATATTGTTTTCAAAATTGTCGATTAAATAAAAAGGGACACACACGAAGCATGTCCAGGGGTTCATTGGTGACATTTTTTCCTCGTTCCCAAGTACAGAGTATTTTTTTAGATGCAAAGAAAAGAAAAAAGTATAAACTGCAGCTGCAATGACTTCTTTATCGATTGTAAAAGTAGAGCAACTTAAGTTATTACAATCATTGGTTTTGCAGTCTATATACTCAATAGACTACTTTCACAAGAGCTACTCCGACAACAGAGGGCGCTAATTGGAAGTTGTCATCGGAGTCGAATTAACTACATGTACTACCTCTTAAAAAAACAAAGGGCAATTAAGTCAAACCCGGCCTACAGACCTCACCAAAACGAAATTTGGAAACTTTAAGTCAAAGCGTTCAAGAGATATTTTTTTCTTAGTAACAAAGTTAGTGCAATGTTCTACTCCTGTTTAATTTATGAAAATGTGCGACATTCCCTTTTTGGCTCATGTTATTGAAAAGTGCACTTCTTGAAACGTTTAAAATTGTCCATGCTTTTCCGGACAACTGAGGGCGCTGTTCCCGTGATGTCATTCCAAGAAGACACTGTCAAGTTTAAGGGTACATTGCATTCTGAACCAAAAAATGTTGCGAACCAAAAATGTTCTCATTGAAAACATTTGTGAAAAAGAGTTATTCATTGGCTTATGCATCAATGTAATGATATTATTAACAACGAATCATCAAGGAAAAGTCATGGCAGCAAAGTATCAACAAATCTAGCTACTTTCTTTGCTAAAGACAGCAATCACATAACAACCGAAAAGGCACCGAAACACCATTTCAAATGGCAAACTGAATGCCCACATAGAACTTTTCGTGTCCTCGGCTGGACTTCTGCAACGCTCCTCGATAGCCAACAAAAGCGCGTGTCGTTTTATAATAAACCATTACCAGCGACTCCTACGGTACATTTATAATTGCAATTCGACTTATTCCTGTTGAACAAATGCTTCCTCCATGGTGTGCGTCTTCAGGTCTTTGTTGAGGCTTTTCGCAAGTCTGAAAGACGCGGTTTTCTTCGATGTGAATTCTACGATGCCACTCTAGGTTCGAGCTCCGAACGAAAGATCTGCCACAAATGTCGCATGTGTACGATTTCTCATTGGTATGGATCCTACGGTGCCTTAGTAAGTCCGAGCTCCCAGTGAAAGATTTGCCACAAATGGTACACGCGTACGGTTTCTCATTGGTGTGGGTCATCTTGTGTTGCTTGATGCTTCCACGTTGCGTGAACGATTTTCCACAGATGTCGCATGCGTACGGTTTGTCGTTTGTGTGGATCATCTTGTGTTGCTTAAAGTGATGCCTAAGTTTGAAGGATTTTCCACAGATGTCGCATGTGAATGGTTTGTCATTGGTGTGGATCGTCTTGTGTAGCTTGAGGTTTCCATTTTGCCTGAACGATTTCCCGCAGATGTCGCATTTGTACGGTTTTTCATTGGTGTGGACCATCTCATGTCGCCGAAGATTGCATTTCACGTCGAACCGTTTGCCACAGATGTCACAAGCAAATACTCTCTCCCTGTTGTTGGTGTGGATCTTCTGGTGCATTTTAATGTTGTCCTTGCGCTTGAACGATTTTCCACAAATGTCGCATGGATACGGTTTCTCGTTGGTGTGGGTCATCTTGTGTTGCTTGAGATGTCCATTCTGCGTAAACGAGTTTCCACAGTTGTCGCAAGCGTACGGTTTTTCATTAGTGTGGGTCCTCTTGTGTTGCTTGAGGCTTCCACTTTGCGAGAACGATTTCCCGCAGATTTCGCATGCGTACGGTTTCTCATTGGTGTGGGTCATCTTGTGTTGCTTGAGGCTTGAATTAAGCAAGAACGATTTTCCACAGATTTCACATGCGTACGGTTTTTCGTTGGTGTGGATCATCTTGTGTCGCTTGAGGTCTCCATTCTGCGCAAACGATATCCCGCAGATGTCACAGGCGTGCGGTTTCTCGTTGGTGTGGGTCATCTTATGTTTAGTAAAGTTTTGCCTAAGTTTGAAAGATTTTCCACAGATGTCGCATGTGAATGGTTTGTCATCTTTGTGGATCATCTTGTGTTGCTTGAGGTTTCCATTTTGCGTGAACGATTTCCCGCAGATGTCGCATTCGTACGGTTTCTCATTGGTGTGGATCATCTCATGTCGCCGAAGATATCTTTTCGCGTCAAACCCTTTGCCACAGAAGTCACAAGCAAACACTCTCTCCCTGTTGTTAGTGTGGGTCATCTTGTGTTGTTTGAGGTCTCCATTCTGCGCAAACGATATCCCGACGAAGATGTCGCATGCGTACGGTTTTTCATCCATGAGGGTCTTCTTGTGTCACTCGAGGTAGAACCCACTTTGGAAGACAGCCCGCACATCTGTCGTACTTCAACGGATGGTCATCGGTGTGAGTCAGCTGGTGTCACTAATTGAGTGACAATTTCTCATTGATAGAACTGGGACGCTCTTTAGACAAATTACTGGTGTGCTTTGCAGCCCGTTGCAAGTCCTATGCCTTAATTGATTCAGGCTTTTCAAGTTACCTGTGCAAAAATCAGAACACAAATGTGACAATTTACACCTGTAACTGGCATAATACTTGTGTGCTTCTATACAAAGAAATTATCATAAATGTTGCCCCCCACGGATGTTCGCCCCTTCATGAACAAAAATATGTATAATTTGCCTTCAGGGCCCACCTGTCAATCTGGTTTACAGGAAGCCGAGCAGTAAAGGGACCCAGGTGTTTGTGGGGGCACGCCCTCCGAAACGTTTTGAAATTTACACAAAAAAATTGTCCTTAATTCCAAGGCAATTCGAGAATAATTTTAGGAACTTTCCATTTCATTTTCCGCCCAATTTTACAAGGGGGTGTGCAACCCCCCCCCCCACACACACATACTGAAATAAGCCATTTGCGAGTAACCTGATACCCTTTGGGATTTACATTTGAAAAACGTCTGGTACAATGACTTGCTCAGAATGCTTGGCACATTTTAACTTTGAATTCTCCAGACCAAAGACACTGTTGCTAATCACAAGATTCGGGGCAAGCTCTTGCATAGTTACGTAAGAGACGCTCAGCACCAATACATTGTTCACAGTGGGTGAGAATGGCACAAAGACACCAGACCATGCCGGAGCTGGGGGTTGCTAGCATAAGGCTTGCCCCGAATCACGTGATATAGTAACAGTCTCTTTGGTCGGGAGAATGCTAGGTTAAAACGCGCAAAGCATTGTATTAAGTCAGCGTTCCAGATTTTATTCAAATTTAACTCGCTAAATGGCTTATTTGTATCATTGTGGAGACATTTCTTTGTTCTCGTGTAGTAAAGTTTTCGAGTTTGAAAGTGAAGTTTCAAAATGCTCTTATTTTAACCTGAATTAATTTCTCTTCAATTTGCGACGTATCAACCCACCTTGGAATTTCCTAGTTTTTGAGTAAAATCCATATATCTATTTCGTGAAAATCTTGTGAGATGTATACAATCTTTTGTTCCCTATTGTGTGCACGTCTCCAGATAGCCTTTCACCAAGGCCATCGTGGCTTAACTTGCCCGCATTTAAAGCAGCGAAAACGCGAAGCGACTGGAGATGGAGACCGCACATGCGAGTGGCAAAGCCACAAGGGCCTTTTGCAACTTGTCGAGAAATTCTTATGTTTTTCTTTATAATCTCGATTTTTGCTACCCCAAAAGGGTAGCAAAATTCCAACCAATCAACAGCCTTTTCGTGCGTGCGTGGCTACTACCCGGACGCGCGCGTCGACGCGCCCGGATTCTTGCACAAAATTTAAAAACAAAAAATGCGAGTCTAGTTTTCCACGAGATCATGACCGCGTAACTGTTCTTGCATTATCTTATTTTAACTTTACTTATAAAGGTATTTCAAGAAATTATTTGAGGGTAAGAACTTATTTTTCATCTGAACTTACAGTAATTTGCTCTTACGTTTTCCTTACTCACCCTTCTTTTAAAAATGGAAGCGAATAGGCAAAATCCGCGTTGTGATTGGTTAACCTTCAGCACGCTTCTTATTAGCATAAAAACTATGAATAATTCAACAAAATCAAGTTGCAAAAGGCCTCGTGGCGTTGCCACTCGTGCATGCTGACTTAATCTTTGCTCAAGTCGCTTCGGGTCTTCGCAACTCCGCCGCTCTAAGCCACGATGGTCTGGGCGAAAGGCTAGTCTCCAGAGGGCACGGGGTATCAGCACAACCCCCTCCCCCCACACACACCTCCCCCTCTACAGATTGGCTACTGCTCAGCCTCCCCCAGCTTCATTTAGTACACATACATGTGCCGCTCCTTAGTAATTTCGTGGTACTTACACAACAACAAATCACAAAAGAAAAGACAATTTATGACAGTAGTAACATATTCAAAATTCTTGCCATTTTTTGTGTGTGTGCTGAAATAAATAGCCGAAACATTGAGGTTTCTGCCTGGGATGACAATTTGCATCAAAACCAAAAAGATACCAATTAAAAAAAAAATGAAATGGCAACACGAAACTTGAAAATGAAGTAAAATGGGACACAGTGTTCGTCTTCAAGGACTGCATTAAGAAAACACATGTGATGACCGAAATTCTCTTTCAACAATTTACAAGGATGGAGATCGGAATATCATTGGAGAGTCTCTAAAAAATCGGATTTCTTACCAATCCAAAACTCCTCAGTACGCAGAATGACACAGGAATTAGGTGGTATGAGTGTGTGTAGCTTCCAATAATTCAGGACAAGTTGACACAATAATGATGGAGCTGCTTCGCCTCAGTCGTATCTTCTCACGTTCCCAGTGGGACGCCAAATGCACCGGGCTTAATATGTTATCGTTTGTACAGCTGATCATGGCGAGAATACAGAACGAACACACGTACTACATGTGTGCTGAATGCTGATGGCTCCAGTGCGCTACACAGGGCTGGTATTGGTTCATTGAAGCCTGTACACAAAGCTGAGAGTGGCAACGCATGGCATCCTCATCAGTCTTTCAAAAGGGATCAACTACAAGAAAGGATTAATGCGCTGTAGAATAAGAGGAAATTGGATAAGCTGGGAAGCGCCACACGGCCTACGTTCTGTGCGCCGTATCGATTATCAGTGTCTTGCTGCAACAATCGTTTTCTTGTGAGAAATTCACTAAGCGTACTCGTAGGCCATCTCTAGCGCATGGAGCATGCTTGTTGTCGTGAAACACATGCGTGATGTAGAGGAAAGTTGTGGGATGTCTTAAAATAAACGATTTACGTCTTTGATGTCCCTCCAGGGCCATTGTGTATTACACGCATTATGGTGCCGAGGTTGTGCTTAGCATGTGAACGATTGAGGGCGCTGCGCATTGTAATTGCGCCAATTTCTGGGCACCAACACCATGAAACTGTACATTGAAGTCATACATTATTGAAATCTAAAAACAAAAAATTGTCAAGATCCAACTTGGTTTTAGTCTTTGTATCAGGCTCAATCTGACATCATAGGTAGTCCTCAATACGGTTAAGAAAGAAAATGCCTATTATAATAAAAAGAGACACTCATGACGTCCAGGGGAAACATATATACAAGCGTATTATTTTGCATTATTTCCCTTTCAACACTAAATGGGCACAAATTGTGACATGGGATTTGGAAAAAAAGCAGGATAATAATATTTAGTTGTTTGTCCTATTTTCCACTTGTACATCCCCACCCCATTGTTGAGGATTGTGCTTTTAAAGAATATAAGACTTTCCAGGTAAATTTGAAAAGATATTTATGCTCAACAACGGTGCGTAACATGGACAGAAAGTTTGTTAATATTGATAGAAAGTAATAATTATAATAAATGTCTTTATCAAATATTGTGCCTTTTTTAAAATTCTTATCCCTACAGCATTGTTACCTGTAAAAACAGACAATTAACTGTACATTTCAGATGTCACAGCGTATTATATGTTCAGAATGTTACGCACGTAACATGGACAGAATAATGTCTAAACATTTCTGTCCACGTTACGTACGTTATCTATAAGTGTCTTAATAGACCAACACTAATGTGTTCATTGTGGCTATGATAGCACTCCTCAATCAGTAAATGAGCTATAAATATGAATGAGATGACATTTGGGTGAATTCATGCACATAATAATTAGTGTTGTGTCAATTTGTAGCAAGAATTCTATCTTTTGTTACGTACGTAATTTTTACGATGACCCCTGCAATTTCTAAAGTACAGAGGTTTTCTATATGTTGTTTGTTCACATGTTCATCAAGGTCTCAGCAATGCACAGGAAACATCTGAACAAAATATCTCGCTTTGTTGTACCCTCCGGTGTCCCCCTCTCAAATCCAAAATTTGCAGTCAATTGTACCCATTAGTGTCCTCGTTCCCAAATACATTGCACCGGATATTTTCATTAAATTAAAAAGAAGAGGAAAATAAAAAGTATATTGAAGCTGCACTGGTTTCCTATCTATTGCAGAAAAAACCCTTAAAGGGAATATACATCATTTGCTTTTGCTGTAATTTTCAGAAATGGATGGAATTGGGGGGGTTGGAAATATATAGCAAATATAGTTACACTGACTTTTTGAGGTTTTGGGTTCGAAAATGCTATAAAAACCAAGAAAAACAATCATTTTCCTGTAGTCTGGTTCCCTGACTCCATATAAGAAGAAACAGAGTTTACATACATTGGGGAATTGTAAGGTCAGGAAACCAGTCTAGCTGGCTTGTACCCGTTCATAGGTGTGTAATCGATTGCAAACAAGTGCGATGGTCAATTGGGGCCAGTATTTCAAAAAAGCCAGTTTTTTCCAACGCTGGTCGGCCGACCAGCGTTGGAAATTGATACAAAAATACCACTTTTCTTGAAAATGACAGTATACCAGGTGCCATGATTTTACAGGATGCTTTACACTGTCATTCACTAACAGTCCAGCAAGGTATTTCAATATGATTTGGTAGTTTTATTTTTTGATGTTTGTAAATGTTGTATTTTCCCATTAAGTTAATACAATCATTGGTTTGGCAGTCCTATTCATATGACATCCCCTTTTTGGTAAAATTTTATTGAAAGTACACTTCTTTAAATATTTACAAATTTTCCATGCTTCGCCGTACAACGGAGGGTGCTGTTGCTGTGATGTCGTTCCATGAGACATGTTTAAGCTTGGTATTCTGTTCAAATTGTGAATCCAACATTTTCTCATTGAAAACATTTTGTGAGATAGGGTTGCTCATTTTCTCACTGCAATGTACTGACGTAACAACGGAATAATCAAAGAAAAGAAACGTTATGAAATATCCAAACTTCCGAACTTTTTGTGATGATAGCTGTGTTACATATTGAAGTTTCAGCCCGCAATGACATCACAGCTTTGCTGATGAATATGGAAATTCGCAATAACGTAAAAACAAGAAAGGCACAGAATGAGCCCTTTAATAATATGCCACATGTCCTCGCTGTGCCCACATGAAACTGTTCTTGTCCTCGGCCTGACCTCGGGCAACGGTCCTCGGTAGGTTAGTTTTACCACATGTTCTTTTAGCCCACGAAGACAACTTTTCTTTGTATAATTCACTACGAGTGTTTCTGCTTCATTGCCATTCGACTGATTCCTGTTGAGCAAATACTTTCCTCCATGGTGTGCCTAAATTATCAAGGTGGTTGTTGAAGCTTCTGGCAAGTTGCAAACGTACTTTTTTTATTTGGTGTGAAATCTACGATGCCTTTCTAGGTTAGAGCGCCACGCGAAAACTGTGCTGCAAATGTCGCATGTGTACGGTTTCTCATTGGAGTGGGTCATCTGGTGTTGCTGAAGGTACTTCATATATTTGTAAGATTGTCCACAGATGTCACATAGGAACGGTTTGTCATCCGTGTGGGTCATCTGGTGTCTCTTTAGGTTTCCACTGTTTGTGAACGACATCCCGCAGATGTTGCATGCGTATGGTTTTTCGTTGGTGTGGGTCATCTTATGTCGCTTGAGGCTTCCACTTGTGGTGAACGATTTTCCGCAGATGTCGCAAGTGAACGGTTTCTCATTAGTGTGGGTCATCTTGTGTCGTTTGAGGTTGTCATGCAGCGCGAACGATGTCCCGCAGATGTAGCATGCGTACGGTTTCTCATTGGTGTGGGTCATCTGGTGGCGCTTAAGGTGTTTCTTCCATTTGAAAGATTGTTGACAGATGTCACATCTGAACTGCTTGTCACTGGTGTGGGTCATCTTGTGTCGCTTCAGGCTTTCATTCTTTCACATGAACGATTTCCCGCAGATGTCGCATGCGTGCGGTTTTTCATCCGTGAGGGTCATTAGATGTGGTTTCAGGCTGTTCGTAAACTTGTAAGGTTGTTTATCCGTGTAAGTCATCTTGTGTTTCTTGAGGCTTTTATTCCACAAAAACGATTTTCCTTCAGGAAATGTTGTAATGTACATTGATTTGTCCTTCATTCTTAGGCAATTCAAGAAAAAATCTAGCAACTTTAGCATTCCATTTATTATTCAGTTTCGTAAAAATTAGCCAGCATGAACGGTGGTTCCAGCTAGTGGCCCCACCACACTTGTACGCGATCCCTCTATTGTCTTCCGCGGACTTCGAAAGTTTGGACAGGTAGCGGGCAGCGAATATTTTATTTACACAATAGTACAGGGTACCCATTTTTCAGGCGACTTGAATCACGGTTATAGGATTGTAGAGCGCCGCGTAGCGGCCGTTGCCTAGTGGTTAGGCATGCTGACTAGTGATTGGAGGTCTCGAGTTCGATTCCTCGCTCTGCTTAATCAGATTTTGCTCTTTTTTTCAACAATTTAAAGTTGTTTCTTAAAAACGTTATTTTTCAGTCGGATACTACTTGTATAGCAGCAATTTCCTTTTTCTTTTCCTGATCTGAGGCTCTGGAGGATTTTTTTAAAACGGGAAATAAAGTCCGAAATCCGTACCAAGTTGACAAATAGTAGCCTCCACTCAAGCCTGGTTATAAAAACCAAGCCCCATAGGAAAGCGCACAAAGTACCCCAGATAGTTGTGTAAAAAAAAAATATCGCTAGCGGGCAATGGATCCTGAATACATAATGTATGCAAATTACATAATGCAGCACTGCCTATTCCCGCCCACTACATACAAAATCACAAATATAATGTTAGCGCGGAACCATGCAGCCTATTGCAAAATGGCGACAGGCAGAGAGGGGCACTGGGATGTACACACTTTACAAGGGGGTGGGGAGGGGCGGGCAGCGAATTCTTCTTTCCCAAACGAGATCCAACAATATCTAAAGAGGGCGCTCTCTTTGCGTTATGCATATTCATGATCACCTGATTAGACGTCAGGACTACTTCCAACCAGTCCACGAATCAGCAGACAATCGTCGGTGATTTAAAAACACATTATTCCTTGTTATATTACTTATTCTCTATTAGCCTGGTCATCATGGATATGCATAACGCAAAGAGAGAGAGAGAGGGGGGGGGGGGGAGAGAGCGCCCGCTTTTGATATTGTCGGATCTCGTTTCGGGAAAAATAATTCGCTGCTTTTTGTTGATTTTCTGATTCACTGTAGCCTAAATTATAAGACCGCAAATTTACACCTAACTTGGCATCGAACGTCAAACCGGCATACAAACTATCTCATGGTGGACTTATTTGAATAAAAGTGCAATCGAAAGTACAAAACATTCCACACAAATATTTGGTACAACAATCAATTTATTGAACAATTATTAACAGTTTGTGACAATAATTGTATAAAACAACTGAAAATAAAACAAAGAATTGGTCACTTAAAAACACATGACAACTCCATGCCCCGAGTATTTATGATTTTTGATCATGAAGCATGCACTATAAAGTTATGTACTGTTCTGTCAATCACTCATGGCATGTGTTTCGAAGTTTGTGTGAAACACGTCTATAGTTTGTCCAATGAGAAGTGCCGTTAACCAATTTGCTAAATTGCCTTTGAACGATCAGAATTGTCAGTCTGGGGCAAGTTAGCCTTTCGCCAAGTCACAAATTTCTTATGTTTTTCTTTATTACTCGATTTAGGGTAGCAAAATTCCAACCAATCACATACCTTATCGAATGTGCGCGTGACTACTACCGGACGCGTGACGCGCCTACGCACGCGCCTAATTAGTCAAGTTAGAAAAGGCATCGTGGAGTTCGCCACTCAAACTCGCGAACGATGACTTAGTTGGTCTTTGCTAAAGTCGCTTCCTGATTTCGCAGCTTCACCGCTCTAATAAGCCTTAGCGAAAGGCTAGGGGCAGGTTCGCGCAAGAACTGTTGTTAACAATAGTTCGACTAAGTAAGCCCGAACGCTGTCGTCTAGTCGACGATGGTTGGACTACGCTTGTCGACTATTTGGAACCTACTGGGTCTGGTCGCATCGCTGGTTATCAAAAGCCTCGTTTCGCTAATTGCTGATGTAGAAATATACGTAGCGAGTTGTACTACCCGCTGGTGGTGGGCCTTGCGGATACATCTTCCAGTTCATTCAACAGGTCAAAGAACGTTCCATCCACTCATACTCATGACCGCCATATGTTGACAATGGTTCTTCTATAAAGTCATTCGCACTCAATGATACAGCGCATATATCTATCACTGTTTGAAACAAACCAATGTACATTGTTGCTCGGGCTCGCCCCTCGTTGCTGACAGTTAGGCCAAAATACAAAAAAAGCCAAAGTTTAGCGTCCTGCATTTTGATAAAAAGGATGCATGGAGCCCCAAAAAGGAGGCGATGTCCAGAAAGAAAGCGGCAGGGACGCTAAACATGTTTTGTTTTATTTGGCCTTACCTATCGGCGTGAATCCGCCGCTCGTGATGTGTGAGGGTCGAACCACCGTGCGAAGAATGTGCCGCAAATGTCCAACGGTACGGCCTTTCCTAATTAGTGTGGGTTGGTAGATGTTTGATAAGGCAGGGTTTCGTCGTAAATCATCTGCCTCACACGTCGCAAGTTTTAATACGATTTCTCATTGGTGTGGGTTCTCATATGTCTTTGGAGGTTACACTGATGACGGAACAGCTGTCCACAGTCTGTAGTCGCACTCGAACGGTTTCTCGTCCGCGTGGATCAGCAGGTGCTTAAGCATGTTGGCTTTCTGGGTGAACGACTTTCCACAGATGTCGCATGCGGACGGTTTGTCATTGGTGTGGATCCTCTTGTGTCGCTTGAGGTCTCTGTTCTGCGCAAACGATTTCCCACAGATGTCGCATGTGTACGGTTTCTCATTGGTGTGGATCATCTTGTGTTGCTTGAGGTATCTGTTCTGCGCAAACGATTTCCCACAGATGTCACATGTGTACGGTTTCTCATTGGTGTGGGTCATCTTGTGTTGCTTGAGGTATCCGCTCTGCACAAACGATTTCCCGCAGATGTTGCATGTGTACGGTTTCTCATTGGTGTGAATCATCGTGTGTCGCTTGAGGTTATCATTCCGCACAAACGATATCCCGCAGATGTCGCATGTGTACGGTTTCTTATTGGTGTGGGTCATCTTGTGTTGCTTGAGTTGTCCATTCTGCACAAACGATTTTCCGCAGATGTCGTACGTGAACGGTTTCTCATTTGTGTGAGTCATCGTGTGTCGCTTGAGGGTATCATTCCGCTCAAACGATATCCCGCAGATGTCGCATGTGTACGATTTCTCATTGATGTGGGTTCTCATATGTCTTTGGCGGTTACACTGATGACGGAACAGCTGTCCACAGTAGTCGCACTCGAACGGTTTCTCGTCCGCGTGGATCAGCAGGTGCTGAAGCATGTTGGCTTTCTGGGTGAACGACTTTCCACAGATGTCGCATGCGTACGGTTTGTCATTGGTGGGGATCATCTTGTGTTGCTTGAGGTATCTGTTCTGCGCAAACGATTTCCCACAGATGTCGCATGCGTACGGTTTGTCATTGGTGTGGATCCTCTTGTGTCGCTTGAGGTCTCTGTTCTGCGCAAACGATTTCCCACAGATGTCGCATGTGTACGGTTTCTCATTGGTGTGGATCATCTTGTGTTGCTTGAGGTATCTGTTCTGCGCAAACGATTTCCCACAGATGTCACATGTGTACGGTTTCTCATTGGTGTGGGTCATCTTGTGTTGCTTGAGGTATCCGCTCTGCACAAACGATTTCCCGCAGATGTTGCATGTGTACGGTTTCTCATTGGTGTGAATCATCGTGTGTCGCTTGAGGTTATCATTCCGCACAAACGATATCCCGCAGATGTCGCATGTGTACGGTTTCTTATTGGTGTGGGTCATCTTGTGTTGCTTGAGTTGTCCATTCTGCACAAACGATTTTCCGCAGATGTCGTACGTGAACGGTTTCTCATTTGTGTGAGTCATCGTGTGTCGCTTGAGGGTATCATTCCGCTCAAACGATATCCCGCAGATGTCGCATGTGTACGATTTCTCATTGATGTGGGTTCTCATATGTCTTTGGCGGTTACACTGATGACGGAACAGCTGTCCACAGTAGTCGCACTCGAACGGTTTCTCGTCCGCGTGGATCAGCAGGTGCTGAAGCATGTTGGCTTTCTGGGTGAACGACTTTCCACAGATGTCGCATGCGTACGGTTTGTCATTGGTGGGGATCATCTTGTGTTGCTTGAGGTATCTGTTCTGCGCAAACGATTTCCCACAGATGTCGCATGCGTACGGTTTCTCATTGGTGTGGATCATCTTGTGTTGCTTGAGTTGTCCATTCTGCACAAACGATATCCCGCAGATGTCGCATGTGAACGGTTTCTCATTGGTGTGGGTCATCTTGTGTTGCTTGAGTTGTCCATTCTTCGCAAACGATTTCCCACAGATGTCGCATGTGTACGGTTTCTCATTGGGGTGAGTCATCGTGTGTCGCTTGAGGGTAACATTCCGCACAAACGATATCCCGCAGATGTCGCATGTGTACGGTTTCTCATTGGTGTGGGTCATCTTGTGTTGCTTGAGTTGTCCATTCTGCACAAACGATTTCCCGCAGATGTCGGATGTGAACGGTTTCTCATTGATGTGAGTCATCGTGTGTCGCTTGAGGGTAACATTCCGCACAAACGATATCCCGCAGATGTCGCATGTGTACGGTTTCTTATTGGTGTGGGTCATCTTGTGTTGCTTTAGGTGATGCGGTAATTTGTAATAAGATTGTCCGCAGATGTCACATCCAAGCGGCCTGTCATCGGTGTGTCGAGTCATCCAGTGTCGCTCGAGGGAAAGTTTTAATGTAAAGGATTCGCCGCATAAACGCACGCGTAAGAATTTGCATTGGTGCGGATCTCTTTGCAGTCATGATTTGGATGTGGTTTGCCTGACACTGTATCCTCCGTTAAGTCAGTTGTCTCGTCTTAGTCGCACTCTTCAAGTTGCCTGTGTGAGTAAAATAACACAGAATGCAAAAGGTGAAACCCCTTAAAAAAAATCAGTAAATGCCATTCCTATCATGCTCCTACAATGTACTCCATATATGTACCTTACATTATACACAATGTACATGTACATACGTGCACACACCATGCAGCCACAAGGACCTACATGTATAACTGAACACAATTGAATGAACAATCAAAGACAACCAACCCTTTGAAAAGGATCGATGAAGATCAGGGGATCGAGACAGTGACTGAAGAAGCGATCAAGAAAGACGATGGGAACGCAAGAGTGAAACCACACGGCTCAGCCATTTGTATGAAAAAAAAAATTCGATTGATGACCGAACAGGGGCGGATCCAGAAATGATTGCGGGAGGGGGCCGGGGTGTTTCATCAGCGAATCAGTACTGAATGTAGACAGTTGATTTTCCCCGGCCTCTGCCTCCTTGAAAATCAATAATGGGAAGGGGGAAGGGCAGGCGTGGTTCTAGAACCAATATTTTTTTGGGGGGGGGGGGGGGCTAGCACGGTGGATCCAGAATTTTTTCAGGGAGGCGTGCTGAAATGTAGACAGGTTATTTTTTCCAGACACTTAGGCCTCCGAAAATCAATAGGTGGGGGAGGGGGGTGGGGGGGGGGTGGGGGGGGGGGGGGGGCTCATGCCATATTTTCAATGGGGAGCGCCAATAAAATCCTAAAATCATTCACACTATATTAACTAATGCACCCTTGTCACGGCAGTTTCTTCTTTAGGGGGAGACCGTTCGCATCATGTACATCACAATCCTTCTTTTTGCTAATGCAATTTTTTTTTACGGAATTTATTGGGGGGGGGGGGGGGTGGGCTAGACAAAAAAATAGGGGGGGGGCTACAGCCCCCCCCCCCCCCCCCGTAGAACCGCGCCTGGGGAAGGGGGTCTCGTACTCACGTACCACACTTTCAACGGGCGCTGTTCAAATCCGACGATGTACAAATACACAAATTACCACAGCTGGTTGCACGTTACCACATGCTGCATACGCCTCTGGCGCAAGGGCAGATCCAGAACACAATTTTTCGGGGGAGGTGGCCAAAAAAAAATCGTCCACCAAAAAGTGGGTCCCCCAAAAAAGGGCGTGGGTTTCGGGGCCCGTTTGAGGGCCCGAACATATTTTTTTGATTCTAGACGCTCTGTGGTGCGATCTGAGGCAGTTTCTGACCACTTTAACCAAATCTTTTTGATGCTGGTAAATGCAGTACATGTACTTGCCTTTATTGCGACGTCACTTAAAAAAAAATTGGGTTTTTTTTTTGGGGGGGGGCGGGGCATGGCTTTCGTCCCCCACCTTCCCCTGGATCCGCCGTACTCCGGTGGACATACATTTAATTATTATCAGTATTCCTATATTTGACATAATGTTTTTGCAGTCAGAGCAGGGGGGGGGGGGTACATTATTTTCACTATATTTCTAAGATTAGTTTTTTTTTTGGTGGGGGTGTGGGAGTCGGTGCAGGGGGGTTTGACACCCCCCCCCCCCCCCACGGATCCCCACTTACCAAACTCAGATATTTTCAGGAAATCAAAGATAGAGTGGATCATAACTAGCTTCAAAACAAAAGGCCAAATTTACCCCCCCCCCTAAAAAAATACTTGGTTTGAAAGATATCAAGGCGTAACAATAACAAATTCAGTGACGAATCTCAGAGAATTAGGGAAAATGGTTTGTAAATGTTTAATAATAAAAGGCATGGCTGATACAGAAATGTTTTCCCTTTCAAATTAAATTTTAATAATTCTTTTGATAATTGAAAACAAACCACAAAACAATACGTGCAGTCAAAAACACAAAAACAGCCCCAGGCGAGTGTACAAGCGTCTCCTACTGCGCATGTGCATAGATCAGGCTTACTAAAATAGGACCCAAAATTATTTTCAATATTGTACGACTAAAAGCTTCTCAACACTTAAAGGGAATGTACATCATTGGCTTTTGCTGTAATTTTCAAAAAATGAACTAATTGAGGGGTTAATAGATCAAATATTGTTACACTAACATGTTTGAAGTTTTGTGTTTGAAAATGCTGGAAAAACCAAGAAAAACAAAAATGTTCAAGCAGTCTGGTTCCCCGACTCCACTCAAGATGAACTAGATCAATATTTATAGATGCCGGAAAATTGTAAGGTAAGGGAACCAGTCTAGCCTGCCTGCACCCGTTCATGAACATGTAACCAATAGCAAACAAAATTTGGACAAAAAAATGGTAAATTTGGATAAGTAGTTGAAAAATAGTTAGGTTTTTCCAACGGTGGTCGGCCGACATGAATGTCACTGTTAAAAAAATTATTATTTTGTGCAAATTTCTACTCCTCTAAAATGTATGTAAACTATTTGACATCCCTTTTTGGTTAATTTTAAATTTTAAAAATGTCCCTGCTTTCCGAACAACTGAGGGCGTCGTTGCTCTGATGTCATTTCAGGAAGGCACTGTGAATCACGCTCAGTTATACAGTAAAATTAATCATTAAAAAAAAGTGTCGTTCTAAATTTAAAGCTGTATAAACTTGCTTCAACATAATAAAGGGTACATGTCCTTCACATAATATGTGCATGGTAGCATTTTGATTACATACAAGAATGAACAAACACGTTTCAAAAGCAGTTATTTTTAAAATATCACACTGTTCCATCAAAAGTGAAACTGTGAACTACAGTCGAACCCTGATAAGAAGAGCGCTGTTAATACAGTCGAGTCTCGTTATACCAAACTCGTTCGGACCTAGCCAAATTGTTTGTTATGTCAGAATTTTGTATTAAGAGGAACATCAGTCCCATTTATTGTGCATATAAATGCATAGTTGGGACTCAGGCTTTATGTTTGTTATAACCAGAATTTTGTATCAACAGAGTTTGTACTAACGAGAGTCGACTGTTAACAAGCAAAATTTCAGGTCCCATGTCTTTGTTTTTGTATGTTTTCCAATACTAGGGAGGTTTCGCAAGCGAACGGATACGCTTACACTTACGCTTAGCTATCCGTATCCGTTTTTTACTTACGTGTAGCGAGCGAGATATGCGTGTCGTCTGCACGTTTAGCGGATAGTGAGTGGCGTATGACGTCATACGTGCAGACGACACGCATATCTCGCTCGCTACACGTAAGTAAAAAACGGATACGGATAGCTAAACGTAAGTGTAAGCGTATCCGTTCGCTTGCGAAACCTCCCTATTGTTCAAACTATAACAAGGTGGAATTCATAAAGTCCCAAGGACCTTGTTATAAAGGTGTTCGACTGTACAATGTATTCAGGACACTCTCACATGCCTCACTCTCAAGAAATTGGTTAATTTCATCCTATGCTACAAATGAAGGTAAAACTACTCAAATGTGAGCAACTAATATCATTTACAATGTATATACATTGTATATACAATGTATATACAATGTGTCACCGCTTGTGCACGCTTCGAGTAATTAAAAACGAACTACATGAACAATGTACTAAACGGAAATTTCCAGAAATGCGCCTTTAGACCCACGGTGGAAATGGTCTTCTTTCACTGTTTTCTTCCAAATGACAGCTTGCCAGAAAGAATCACTTCACAGGAATTTTAGTCCCGTTACGATCTTTAATCAAGTATGATTTTCAAGACTCATTACATTGTTATGACGTCAGTTACAGTTAGGATGGCTGCAAATGATGGTCTGTAGCTTTGAAATGCTTTTGAAGGCTCGAGCTCCACCTATACGATTTGCCACAAATGTCACATGTGAACGGTTTCTCATTGGTGTGGATCCTCTCATGCCGCCGAACCTTGATTTTGTCCGTAAACCCTTTGCCACAGAAGCTACAAGTAAATGGTCTCTCCCTATTGTCGTCGTGGATCTTCTTGTGCATTTTCAGGTAGTTTTCGCACACGAACGATTTCCCACAGATGTCGCATGCGTACGGGTTCTCACTGGTGTGGGTCATCGCGTGCCGGTTCAACTGATCCGTATATTTGTAAGATTGTCCACAGATGTCACATCTGCACGGCTTGTCATATGTGTGGGTCATTTTGTGTCGATTAAGCTGTCCTTTCTGTGCATATGATTTCCCGCAGATGACACACGTGTGCGGTTTCTCACCGGTGTGGGTCATCTTGTGTACCTTAAGGTATTCATTCCGCGCGAACGATTTTCCGCAGATGTCGCATGCGTACGGTTTCTCATTGGTGTGGGTTATCTGGTGTTTCTTGAGGCTTCCAACGTGCATAAACGCTTTCCCACAGTTGTCGCATACGTAGGGTTTATCGTTGGTGTGGGTCTTTTTGTGTAGCCTCAGGCCTGAATTCTGCGCGAACGTTTTCTCGCAGATGTCGCACGCGTACGGTTTCTCACCTGTGTGTGTCATTCTGTGCATTCTGAGGCTATTCGCAAACTTGTAAGATTTCCCGCAGATGTCGCATCCGAGCGGTTTGTCATCGGTGTGGGTCTTCTTGTGTTCCTTGAGGCTTTGATTATACGGGAACGATTTTCCGCAGATGTCGCATGTGTACGGTTTCTCGTCGCTGTGGGTCGCCTTGTGAAGCTTGAGGCTTAAACTCCACAAGAATGATTTTCCGCACATGTCGCATGCGTACGGTTTCTCATTGGTGTGGGTCAATTGGTGTTGCCTAAAAGTCCCTTTCGTCGAGAGCCGTCTTCCGCAGATGTCGCATCTGAACGATTTCTCATTGTGGGTCATCTGGTGCAGTTTGAGGTTCTCTTTCAGCGCGACTGATTTGCCGCAGATGTCGCAGGTGTACGGTTTCTCGCCGGTGTGGATCTTCTTGTGGCGATTGAGGTGTCCATTCCGCGCGAAGGTTTTTCCGCAGGTGTCGCATGCGTACGGTTTCTCATTGGTGTGGGTCAGCTTGTGTAGTTTAAGGTTTCCGTTCAGTGCGACCGATTTGCCGCAGATGTCGCATGTGTACGGTTTCTCGCTAGTGTGGGTCTTCTTGTGTTGCCGAAGAATTACTCTCTCCGTGAATGATTCCCCGCAAATGTCGCATGCGAACAATTTGTCACTGTTGTGCGTCCTCTGGTGTTTTTTGAGGTTTCCAATTTGCGAGAACGAGTGTCCACAGATGTCGCATGTGTGCGGTTTCTCATTGGTGTGGATCCTCTTATGTAGCTTCAGGCTTCCGTTTTCTGAGAACGATTTCCCGCAGATGTCGCATTCGTACGGCTTCTCGCCGGTGTGGGTCCTCGTATGTTTACTGAGGCTTCCAGTCGCCGCAAACGATTTTCCGCAGATGTCGCATGCGTACGGTTTCTCACCGGTGTGGGTCCTCTTGTGCAGCACGAGGCTTCCGCTTTGCGTGAAGGCTTTCCCGCAGATGTCGCATGTGTACGGTTTCTCGCCCGTGTGGATCCTCTGGTGTAGCCCGAGGCCTAATTTGTCCCTAAACGATTTCTCGCAGATGTCGCATGCGTACGGTTTCTCGCCGGTGTGGGTCATCTTGTGTGACCTGAGGCCTCCTTTCTGCACATACGATTTTCCGCAGATGTCGCACGCGTACGGTTTCTCACTGGTAGAGGGCATTATGAATAAGTTTAGGCTGAACACAAAATGTAAGATTTCTGCAGATGTCGCGTCAGACTCTTCAAGTTGCCTGTATAAAATCATACAGAGCAAAATTGTGAAAATATACCACGAACTGTATTTTGTAAATGCCCACATGACCTTAATGTTTACTGATTGGACACGTATTATCATACACGGTCTGAGATCTCCTACACGGTATTTGTTCCAATTACCGTCAGCACACCGTCAAAAAACCTTATCTTTACAAACACAGCTTGAGTTAATTTGCACAATGGAGAACTGTATGTAGGGTTAGAAACGGCACAGCTATAGATTAATGGCCCGGTTTTTATCCAACATCGCTTGTTAGCTTATGGTCCAAAATCACTAAATGGATATTTTCGACAAGGCTTAACAATTGTTCTCCGTCGTAAAAGGTTTAACACCGTCGTAAAAGGTCGTAACACGCTTTAAACACATGATGGTATACTACCGTTAACAAACTGTAAATACCTCAAAGCACATTCTTATTTTACAAAATGTAGGTGTAAAAGCAAAGAGCAAGGACCAGCGCATAAACTGAAAGAAAAGGTCCATCGCTTTTATAATGAATTTGAGGTATGCCCACGCGCCGACGGAGTCGAAGCAGTTGTAATGTATCACCCCTGAAGCATATTATGGTATCGTCCTCGCTGCCCGATACTGAAGTCAACATGGCTGCCAATTTTGGCGCTCCACCGGGAGATAGGCACGCCTTCTCGAAAACTGCTACAGGCCGTATGCACGAGGTGGCCATTATTGTCAAGTTCCCTGAATATATTTCATAAATTGTTAACTGTTGCATGGGATGGCGCCAGACTATTTATGCAGCCTTATTTTATTGTCAATTTGTTTTTTTTTATCTTGCTCACATTAGGGAATGGTTAATTACAAATTTCAATATAAGATTTGAGGCTTTGCATGGTGGGGTATCGGTATCGTTTCGGTTTTGCGGTAACACCATGTTGTAATAACTACTGCTTAGAAGATATTAGTTCTGAGAAGAACTTGTCCTGCTTATTATCAACTTGCTAAGTAGTTTTTTGTTCTGTTTAGAACAGTCCTGCTGTAAGTTCTAAAAGAACCAAAGACAAGTTCTTTTAGAACTTACAGCAGGACTGTTCTAAACAGAACAAAAAACTACTTAGCAAGTTGATAATAAGCAGGACAAGTTCTTCTCAGAACTAATATCTTCTAAGCAGTAGTTATTACCACATGGTGTTACCGCAAAACCGAAACGATACAAATTACAAATTATTCATTGAAGCAGACTTGATTTAATTAGGAATTTACTTGCTTTCATTTCTCTTCGAAAGTTCCCAAAATGAAGATTTTACCTCGCTTTCAATTCAACATGGCCGACTCGTGCACGTGGCCCATTTTGAGACGTTTAACCTCATAAATCTACCATGTCACTTCAACTACAAAATAATGTAATGGGTGCACAGGGTGTACGTAGGTGATATACACAATGATCTCACTTTATAGCTACCTCGTGGGGCACTCTAACAAAGAGAACTAAGAAGGCGATCAATAATGCAATTACGGAGTACGGCAGTACTCCATAAACTCCAACCTAAGGAATGTGCACCACGTTTATTCACCGTGTGACTTAATACATAGCGCTTTACAATACATGAACAAGTTCTGAGCTACATGTATATGTAAGACACAGATGCCACCAATATAAAACGCCTGAAACACTACCAAAAAAGTCTGAAAACACTCTTAATCCATTTCAAATATACTGTTTTTCTGGATGTTTCAGACCAAATCCAGCACTTTTGATGTCACATTTTTGGAGAAAAAAAGAACAACTGAATTCGGGTTTAAACCTAAAAAGTAGCATCTCTGATAAGGCTTAGAATACAAGGCAAAGCCCCAAAATCTGACAACAGACTCGCTGTGGAGGAGGTTTGGCGATCCCCCACAGCAGCAGCATCATTGAGCGTGGCCAAATCGCTTCGAAAGAGAGATGCATATGGCATTCCGAACCTGTGAACACAGAAATACCCACATTTTTGTCTAAAAGGAACGCTTTATTTTGGGTAATTATATCCTTTCTTATGATACAATAGCTGACGCCTGTCATGAGCTCATAAATTAAGGGACTTTCCCTAATGCAATTTACGTATCCACATCCGTAAGGCGGGTCCGGCCGAAATGACTCTCACTGTTTTAAAGTTACTTCTATCATCAGGATCGAGTACTGAATGGTATCATTACAGATACTTTATGAATTTTGATGTCTTACCAATCCAATATCGTCACTAAGCAGAATGACACGGGAAGTGGTATAGGTCTGTTTCTTGCTCTATGGTGAAGCCTTCACAAGTTCAGGACAAGTTGACACAATGATTCGAGCCACTCCACGTATGTCTTCTCACAGAAAGCATATACACACAAGTCATGTAGCAGAGAGTGACGCCGAATGCAACTGAGTTAGTGTTGTCGTTTGCAAAGGTGATTATGGCGAGAATAGAGTACGCAACACACTCACTGCATGACGTAATGATAGTTCCAGCGCATGCATGCGCCGCACTGTTATCTGACGTTAATGCTACAACAATGCGAGAGGCATAGCATTGTGTAATGCCCCTCTCAAATCAACAAGCGTACTGCGCATGTGCAGTACGTATAGACTTGGCTCAAGGCGGCTCCTGATGCGAGAATAGGACAGGCTTACTAAAATAGAATCCAAACCTAATTTCGATATTGTATAACCAAACACTTTTCAACACTTAAAGGGAAGATACAAAATTTACAAACATCAAAAACCGAAAAGATCAAATTATCACGAAATGCCTTACTGAATTGTTAGGGACTGACAGTCCAAATCATCCTTTAAAATCGTGGCTCCTTGTGTGCCGACATTTTCAAGAAAAACTGTATTTTTCCAACGCTGGTCGGCCGACCAGCGTTGGAGAAAACTGGCTTTTTTTCAAAAACCGTTCCTTAGTTTTCATAGTTAGTTATTCTGACTTTTCTTTGCAATTGATTGCACACCTGTGAAGGGGTACAAGCCTGCTAGACTGATTCTCTGAGCCTACAATTCCCCAAGTGTATTAATTGCTCTGTTTCATTTTAAGTGGGGTCAGGGAACCAGACTAAAAGAACATCATAGGTTTTCTTGGTTTTTCCAGCGTCTACAAGCCCAAAACGTGAAACAAGTCGGTTTAACAATATTTTCTACAACATACTAATCCTCCAAATCCATTTATTTCTGAAAATTACAGCAAGTTTTTTTTTTTACTCATCCTGTATTGCCGCCACGACTCGGCGACGCAACGGCATGAAATAAGCCGAATGCGCGTTAGCATCAGATTGATTTTCTGAGAACAGAGGCGGTCAACTTGGGGCATATACCATTTCAGCACTTAATGTAGCAAGATACATCAGATATCACGTGTGACCGCAAACTTCCGGTTGTGTGACCGCTACTTCCGTGACACACAGACACCAGACAGCTAGACACCGTATGATCTTTTAATATAGGAATACACGTAATATAAAACAACACTTACCTTGTTATAACGAGAGTCGACTGTATATGGCGCAAAATGAATCAAATATTCCTCAAAGCGCTTAACGCCAGAAACAATTAGACAAAAATAATCCCAATGTGAAACCAAACTTGGTTAAAAACTTAAGCCGGACCAGCTTTTGTCTGGATGATTAACCGTTAAAAAATCCAATGACGGCGCTTTGAAAACCAGCGTGCGCCGGTGTCATGCAACCTGAGCTCCTATGAATTCTGGTCATTTTATCTTTAAGAATTGGACTCTAACCTTAATACGTGACCTGTCAGTGTTAAAGTTATCTTCACTGGGACCTGCGCAATACAGCGAATGAGACCGCTATCTACGCATTCCATACAATCCAAATTTCACACTACACTAGCACCAACCTTTCCTATATAAAATACACTTGTAAGCTAGTTAACAATAACCTTCCCAAATTCTCAAAAATCCTCTTTGCAAAACGGAGGATATTGCAGGATTGAGGCTACATGGCAAACATTAAGGATGCACTGTGTCAAGGTAATTAATTAGGCCAGACTTTGTGTTGTTTACGCTCAGTCGTGCGTAAATTTAGGCCGAGACTATACTTCAAATCCTCCAGGATATCACTGGCTCTGCCTCAACATATTGACAGTGATTGAGGATTTTGCAGGATTGAGGCAGTGGTCTCCCCTCCAAGGACCACATTTAAGAAATAACGGGTGATTTTGCAGGATTGAGTCTGTATGCAACTTTAACATGGAGGCAGTTGGTGGGTTTTGCAGGATTGAGGTTGCATTCTAGCAAAAATGCCTAGGGAGTTAGGGTTAATTACTGTCAGTTGATCCATTGCTCCTTATCCAAGCATACGAGTGGCAGGAGGTATTGCTTTCCTGCCCAATAAACTATTTCAGCATACACTATGCTTGACATTCCAATGGTCCATTAAGTGTCATTTGAATGCTTGAGCAAATACTTCTCTGTCCCTAACCCTGCTGAATCCAACAGGATCCAACTGTTGGATTGAGCAGTTATCCCCTGGTGTACATTCCTGATTGCATTCAGCAGGCAACTGAACCTCATTATAACACAAAGTTGGACTCTGTTGGATCATAGAGCAAGGACCCAAGGAGTTCGTACTCCAAGACTTCAAAAGTAAAATGATGGTCGCCGCGCTCGAAAGCTACAATAGAAAGCACCTGGCGAGGTTGACCAAAGAGGGTGACCAAACTTTGAAATGGAATGTAAACGACTACATTTGTTTAGTTAGAGATGAATATTAGAGTTGGTGAATTTAAATGAAAAAAATGTTCGAAAATAGTCGCGAAAACCTATATTCACATAATTTACGTGCGGCATAAAAGTTAACTGAACTGCTGGAAACAATGATGTCAACACTTTCAGCATCAAATTATTTGCTTCTCTAGAGAAATGGTATTCCAAACAATAAAACTATACAACAAATATCGACAAGAACTACATTATTTATCATTCATTATATTTTAAGTAAAAGGCAACGATATACAATGTACCGTCGAACCATGACAAGAAGAGTGCATGAACTACATATATTAATACAAGACCCTGCATGAGGTCAAAGTCAAAGGGGGCCAAAAAAATATCGTCCACCAAAAAGTGGGTCCTAAAAAAAGGGCGTGGGTTTCGGGGCCCGTTTGAGGGCCCGAACATATTTTTTTGATTCTAGATGCTCTGTGATGCGATCTGACGCAGTTTCTGACCACTTTAACCAACTCTTTTTGATGGTGGTAAATGCAGTACATGTACATGTACTTGCCTTTATTGCGACGTCACTTAAACAAAAAATGGGTTTTTTTTTCGGGGGCGGGGCATGGCTTCCGTCCCCCACCTTCCCCTGGATCCGCCCGTACTCTGGTGGACATACATTTAATTCTTATCAGTATTCCTATATTTGACATAATCTTTTTTGCAGTGTCAGAGCGGGGGGGGGGGGGGGGGGGTTACATTATTTTCACTATATTCCTAAGATTAGTTTTTTTGGGTGGGGGTGTGGGAGCCGGTGCAGGGGGGTTTGACCCCCCCCCCCCCCCCCCCCCCCCCCCCCACGGATCCCCGCTTACCAAACTCAGATGTTTTCAGTAAATCAAAGATAGAGTGGATCATTACTAGCTTCAAAACAAAAGGCCAAATTTATCCCCCCCCCTAAAAAAAAATACTTGGTTTTAAAGATATCATGGCGTAACAATAACAAATTCAGTGACGAATCTCAGAGAATTCGGGAAAATGGTTTGTAAATGTTTAATAATAAAAGGCATGGCTGATACAGAAATGTTTTCCCTTTACTAATTTCATTTTTAATAATTCAATTGATAATTGAAAACAAACCACAAAACAATACGTGCAGTCAAAAATGCAACTGCGCATGTGCATAGATCAGGCTTACTCAAATAGGACCCAAAATTATTTTCAATATTGTACGACTAAAAGCTTCTCAACACTTAAAGGGAAAGTACATCATTTGCTTTTGCTGTAATTGTCAAAAAATGAACTAATTGAGGGGTTAATAGATCAAATATTGTTACACTAACATGTTTGGAGTTTTGTGTTTGAAAATGCTGGAAAAACCAAGAAAAACAAAAATGTTCAAGCACTCTGGTTTCCCGACTCCACTAAAGATGAAATAGATCAATATTTATAGATGCCGGAAAATTGTAAGCAAAGGGAACCAGTCTAGCCTGCCTGCACCCGTTCATGAACATGTAACCAATAGCAAACAAAATTTGGACTAAAAAAATGGTAAATTTGGATCAGTAGTTGAAAAATAGTTAGGTTTTTCCAACGGTGGTCGGCCGACATGAATGTCACTGTTAAAAAAATTATTATTTTGTGCAAATTTCTACTCCTCTAAAATGTATGTAAACTATTTGACATCCCTTTTTGGTTAATTTTAAATTTTAAAAATGTCACTGCTTTCCAAACAAGGGCGTTGCTGCTGTGATGTCATTTCAGGAAGGCACTGGGAATCACGCTCAGTTATACAGTAAAATTAATCATTAAAAAAAGTGTCGTTCTAAATTTAAAGCTGTATAAACTCGCTTCAACATAATGAAGGGTACATGTCCTTCACATAATATGTGCATGGTAGCATTTTGATTACATACAAGAATGAACAAACACGCTTCAAAAGCAGTTATTTTTAAAATATCACAGTTCCTTAATAATGAAAGGTTTGCGGAAACACCATGTGCAAATAATTTCTCAACTACGAGAATGGTTCTGAAAAGAACCAGAGGTATAAACTCGACGTTCCGGTCAGTATGCTCTGACCGTCTTCAGGTCGGAGAACACTCTCCTGCAGACGGTCAGAGCATACTGACCGGAACGTCGAGTTTATACCTCTGGTTCTTTTCAGAACCATTCTCATAGTTGAGAAATTATTCGCACATGGTGTTTCCGCAAACCTTTCATTATTTAGTATCTCCACCATGCAAAGCCTCAAATCTTACTTACATTGTTCCTTCGGAAGTGAAACTGTGAACTACAGTCGAACCCTGATAAGAAGAGCGCTGTTAATACAAGGCCCTGTTTATAACAAGTAAAATTTCAGGTCCCATGTCTATGTTTTTGTAAGTTTTCCAATACTGTTAAAACTATAACAAGGTGGAATTCATAAAAACCCAAGGACCTTTGTTATAAAGGTGTTCGACTGTACAATGTATTCAGGGCACCCTCACAGGCCTCAGACTCAAAAAATTTGTACGTTTCATTTCATCCTATGCTACAAAATATTTAGGTAAAACTACAAAAATATGCGCAACTAATAAACATTAACAATGTATATACATTGTATATACAATGTATATACATTGTTTATACAATGTATATACAAGTGTCACCGCTTGTGCACGTTTCGAGGAATTAAAAACAACTATATGAACAATGTACTAAACGGAAATTTCCAGAAATACGCCTTTAGACGCACCGGTGGAAATCGTTGTTTTTCACTGTTTTCTTCCAAATGACAGCTTGCCAGAAAGAATCACTTCACAGGAATTTTAGTCCCGTTACGATCTTTAATCAAGTATGATTTTCAAGACTCATTACATTGTTATGACGTCAGTTACAGTTAGGATGGCTGCAAATGATGGTCTGTAGCTTTGAAATGCTTTTGAAGGCTCGAGCTCCACCTATACGATTTGCCACAAATGTCACATGTGAACGGTTTCTCATTGGTGTGGATCCTCTCA